CTGTCAGCCCCTAAAGGAAGAAGAGGATGAGGGACCAGTGGACAAGTCTCCCCCAGGAAGTCCCCAGAGTCCCTCTAGTGGAGCCGAGGCTGCAGATGAGGACAGCAATGACTCCCCTGCCTCCTCCAGCTCCTCTAGGCCCCTCAAGGTACGGATTAAGACCATTAAAACGTCCTGCGGGAATATCACAAGGACTGTAACCCGGGTCCCCTCAGACCCTGATCCCCCTGCCCCCTTGCCTGAAGGGGGCTTCCTGGCAGAGGCTAGCCTCCTCAAGCTGTCCCCCGCAACCCCGACCCCTGAGGGTCCAAAGGTGGTGAGTGTCCAGCTGGGTGATGGCACAAGGCTAAAGGGCACTGTGCTGCCCGTGGCTACCATCCAGAACGCAAGCACTGCCATGCTGATGGCAGCCAGTGTGGCCCGCAAAGCCGTGGTTCTGCCTGGAGGCACTGCCCCCAGCCCTAAGACGATGGCTAAGAATGTGCTGGGTCTGGTGCCCCAAGCGCTGCCCAAGGCTGAGGGGAGGGCAGGGCTGGGGGCCGGGGGGCAGAAGGTGAACGGTGCTTCGGTGGTGATGGTGCAGCCCTCTAAGCCGGCCACCGGGCCGGGGGCAGGGGGTGGCACGGTGATCTCACGGACCCAGTCCAGCCTGGTGGAGGCCTTCAACAAGATCCTCAACAGCAAGAACCTGCTGCCTGCCTACCGGCCAAACCTGAGTCCACCGGCTGAGGCCGGGCTGGCCCTGCCGCCCACGGGCTACCGCTGCCTCGAGTGTGGGGACGCCTTCTCGTTGGAGAAGAGCCTGGCACGACACTATGACCGCCGGAGCATGCGCATCGAGGTCACCTGCAACCACTGTGCCCGCCGCCTAGTCTTCTTCAACAAGTGCAGCCTGCTGCTGCATGCCCGTGAGCACAAGGACAAGGGGCTCGTCATGCAGTGCTCGCACCTGGTCATGAGGCCGGTGGCCCTGGACCAGATGGTGGGGCAGCCGGACATCACGCCCCTGCTGGCTGTCCCACCTGCCCTCGGACCTCCAGCCTTGCCTGCCTTGGGCAAGGGTGACGGGGCCGTCACCTCCTCCGCCGTTACTGCAGTTGCCGCTGAGGCCCCTGTGCTGCCACTCTCAGCCGAGCCGCCTGCCGCCCCGGCCGCCTCTGCTTACACCTGCTTCCGCTGCCTGGAGTGCAAGGAGCAGTGCCGGGACAAGGCCGGCATGGCTGCCCACTTCCAGCAGCTCGGGCCCCCCGCCCCTGGCGCCACCAGCAACGTGAGTTACTTTTCCCAGCCCCTCCCTGGGACGGGGACAGCCAGATGCCATGGGGACAGGATCTAGGAAGGTGTGGGGGCTTGGTTAGGAGAAGGAATGGGGGACAGGCCACTCCTCACAGACTCACCTGGTTTTAACTCCGACAGGTGTGCCCAACTTGCCCCATGATGCTCCCCAATCGCTGCAGCTTCAGCGCCCACCAGCGCATGCATAAGAACCGACCTCCCCACGTCTGCCCTGAGTGTGGAGGCAACTTTCTCCAAGCCAATTTTCAGACCCACCTCCGGGAGGCCTGTCTGCATTTCTCTCGCCGCGTAGGATACAGGTGCCTCCCATCTCTCCTCCCCATAGTCCCTCAACGCTTTTCCTCCTGTACTTGGTGGTCTCGTGGCTCCTGGGACCAGCCTTTCAGATGGCCTCACAGAGGTGAGCCCCATCTCTCCTGTTGAATCACTCAGCCCCGGTGTGTTAGCAAACGCAGCCAGGGCGCTCTCTGCCTTCCCTTCGTTCCCCACGGAGAGGGAGCAGGCGGGGCCCCCTCCGGAGCATCAGCTCTGCCTCTCTGCCCCGCAGGCCTCCCTTGGGGAACTGGGTGCTGCAGCTCCCTCCGTCCTCCAGTTGCCCGGGTTCCACCGCTGATTAACTCCTTAGAGTCCACCCAGCCCCCGTGAATGAGTGTGGGGTTGGAGGTGGCCGTGGAGATGCCCGCAGCTCACCACGGTGCCTCCTACTTACTCCCCCAGGTGCCCCAGCTGTGCAGTGGTGTTTGGGGGTGTGAACTCCATCAAGTCCCACATCCAGACGTCACACTGCGAGGTTTTCCACAAGTGCCCCATCTGCCCCATGGCCTTCAAGTCTGCACCCAGCGCCCACGCCCACCTCTACACCCAGCATCCTAGCTTCCACACGCAGCAGGCCAAGTGAGACCTGGGGAGGGAGCGTGAGGAGGGGCGGGTGGAGGGGGCTGGGCCTCGATGGGGCAGGACGTCTGCACTGTCTTCTCCACCCGCCCAGGATGATCTACAAGTGCGCCATGTGTGACACAGTCTTCACTCACAAACCCCTCCTCTCCTCGCACTTCGACCAGCACTTGCTGCCCCAGCGTGTCAGCGTCTTTAAGTGCCCATCTTGTCCTCTGCTTTTTGCCCAAAAAAGGACCATGCTGGAACATCTCAAGGTACAGGGGTCGAGGGATGGAGGCGGGGTTGCCCAGCTGTGTTGACCGGGGACCCCTCCGGAAGTGGGAGCAGGGGAGGAGCCAGGACTCTGGCAAAGCCAGGTCCTCCCCCACACCAGCCATCCCCCCTTGTCTCCCTCTCACAGAACACACATCAGTCTGGGCGCTCGGGGGAGGAGACTCCTGGGAAAGCGGCCGGGGGTGCCCTTCTGACCCCCAAGACTGAGCCTGAGGAGCTGGCTGTGTCTCGGGGAGGAGCAGCTGCCCCTACTGAGGAGTCTTCTTCATCCTCGGAAGAGGAAGAACTGCCCAGCTCCCCTGAGCCCCCTCGCCCAACCAAACGGCCCCGGCGAGAACTGGGGAGCAAAGGCGTCAAGGGCGGGGGTGGGGGCCCTGGAGGCTGGACCTGTGGCCTTTGTCACTCCTGGTTCCCTGAGCGTGATGAGTATGTGGGTCACATGAAGAAGGAGCATGGCAAGGTGAGTGGGGTGCCCCTGGGGAGCAAGATGGGCTGGAGGGGCAGCATTGGGATTGACCTGTGTGGCAGTGGAGATGGGGTGCTGCATGGAGCCTGGCTGAGACCCCCAACCCCTGCTCTCCTAGTCAGTGAAGAAGTTTCCCTGCCGCCTGTGTGAGCGCTCCTTCTGCTCCGCCCCCAGCCTGAGGCGCCACGTCAGGGTCAATCACGAGGGTATCAAGCGAGTTTACCCATGCAGGTAACCCTTACCCCCTGGCCCCCTTCCTCTTTTCTGTCCGGCAGGGTGCCCCCAACCCTGGTTCCCCAAAGTACCTTCCCACCTGCCTCTTAGGTCTGAGTGGACTGACGGTTGAGGCCTCCCTCTGCTCAAGCCACGAGCCTTGGTCTTTGGGCTGTGCCGCTGGAGCCCACCCCGCCCGCTCTCCCCTTTAGGTATTGCACAGAGGGAAAGCGCACCTTCAGCAGCCGCCTGATCCTGGAGAAACACGTCCAGGTCCGGCATGGCTTGCCGCTCGGGGCCCAGTCCCCTGGCCGGGGGAACGCCCTGGCTCGGGGCCCTGGTGCCAGAGCCCAGGTAGGCAGAGGCCCACCCTGCTGCATGAGGGCTGTGGGAGCAGGAGCCTGCGCGGTTATAGCTGAGGCCTCAGGAAGCTGGGCAGGGGTGCCAGGGACGGTGGGGGGTGACGGGAGGCCCAGTTTCTTCACTCTCTTCTCCAGGGGCCGGGACGGAAACGCCGCCAGTCCTCTGACTCTTGCAGTGAGGAGCCTGACAGCACGACACCTCCAGCCAAGTCCCCCAGGGGCGGCCCCGGGGCGGGAGGCCACGGCCCCCTGCGCTACCGGAGCAGCAGCTCAGCGGAGCAGAGCCTCATGGCGGGGTTGAGGGTGGATGGCGGTGCCCAGCAGTGCCTCGACTGCGGCTTGTGTTTCGCCTCGCCTGGCTCCCTGAGCCGGCACCGTTTCATCAGCCACAAGAAGAAACGGGGTGTGGGGAGTGCCAGTGCCCTGGGCCTGGGGGATGGGGAGGAAGAAACTGCCCCTCCTTCCAGGTCTGACCCAGAGGGGGGAGATTCACCCTTGCCAGCTTCTGGAGGCCCACTGACATGTAAGGTCTGTGGCAAGAGCTGCGACAGCCCTCTCAACCTCAAGACCCATTTCCGCACACACGGCATGGCGTTCATCAGGGCTCGGCAAGGGGGCAGTGGGGACAACTAGGGCCCAGGCCTGGACTCACTAGCCCCCTCCCTCTTCCTTGGGAGCCTGGGTCACTGCTGCTGCCTGGTCCCTGGGCTGGGGAGTGCCATTAGAATTCATGTTTTGTTCAACTCCTCTCCCGCTAACCCCCAAGGACAAGCTTTTGAGAATGGTAGTTATTTGAGGTTCCTGCCTTGGGTTTGGCCCTTGGGTCCTAGTAGAGTGGGGCCTCCATTCCTTCTTTCTGAGCCCAACACTAATTATTTTCTTGCTGCAGCCCCCCCATGTGGGACGGGGGGGTGGGAGGACGGGAAGGCCCAATGCTGGGGTGGTCAGGGGCACTCTCCTCAACCCCTGTGGGCACAGATGGCAGCCCTGGCCTTGCCCTAGTGCCCCCCTGAGACTCCCTGGCACTCAAGCCCTCCACCCCTGCAGTGCCTTTCACTTATCTTTTTTTTTTTTTCCCCCAGAAATCCGGGGGGGGGTGGGGGGAGGTTGGTGGAGACGAGTCCTGTCTGGGGGGGGGGGGTCCCAGGGAGAGGAGGGGACAGGCTCTCAGGAATCCTTTATTCTTGTAGTAATAATAATACTAACAACAGTGGGGGAAATGGGAAGGAGAAAACCAGACCATTAAAACTGCTCGTGGTTTAATCCCCATTCAAGCTCCTCTTTTTATGTGACTTAGACAATGTGGACGTGTCTGGGAGGGGGTGAGTGACAAAGCTGGGAAGGCCCTTCTTCAGGGAAGTGGTATTGACTGAGACAGGCAGGGAAAAAGCAATCTTCCTCCACTTCGTTCTGTGTGGTGCCTTTTGTATCCTGGACACTGAGGCATCTGTTCACTCCCTACCCCTGAAAAAAAATACAACTCAGAAATGACACAGATGGCTAACTAAGGACTTTATTTCAAACAAAAATTAAAAATAAAAAATAAAAATTGAGAGCTATTTCCCTGGGTGTGGGGAAAGGATAAGGGCAAGGAATTCCCCACGGCTAGGCCAATACCCTCAGACTGGAGGGGCTGTGATTATTCCCTTCCTCACTCCTGGGATGGGGAACCTCAGCAAGTGCAGGACCCTATGCCAAAGCCCACCTACCAAGGGGAGCTCGGGCTAGGGGTCAGTCCCTGGGAGGTGACAGAGTTGGGCAGCAGCATGGCCAAAGGCCAACCACAGGATCAAGTCCTTAGTACCAAGAACCTACTCTTTTCTCCTTCCTGGGACCCAGGACACATTAAGAGGATGGCCTGCGGAAAGAACCTCTCGAACCCTAGTGAGGAGAAGAAAGGCCCCAGTGTCCCTCACATTTATCACTTCTGTTCTCTGGAGAGCATTGAGCCCTGGAGTCTGTCAGGTGGTAATACTGACACAGCTGGTGGGGGGTGGTAGGGAAGCCCCAGCAAGTCTGGACCCCACGGCTGGTTCTCCCAACCCCCCGGCAAGCTCTACAGTTACCACATGATCCTCTGTATTTCTTGCCTTCCATTTCCCTTGGTGGATGGCTGGGTGGGTGGGGCTTCCTGGTTTAGGGTTTCTCTGACAAGGGCCTTCTCAGGGAGGGTCCCCTGAATCCCCCACTGCTCCGGGGCCTGAGAAGGAGGATGTCACATGATGCCGTTGGTGAGGTACTGGAAGCCATCGTAGAGTTTGGTGGTGATAGACCGCATGCTGCCATCCACCATCTGCTCCACCAGCAGCTGGAGCTGCTCCTCAGTCATGCTCATGTGGAACCTCTCCTTGAGGTTGCGGATGGTACTGGAGCCATGGAAGCAAGGAAGCTGAGAACCTGGGGGCAGCAGCAAGGGAAGAGGGTCACGGATGGAAACGAGGGAGCGGCAGTGCTAACAGCCGCCACAGCCAGTGCAGAGCCGGGCTATCTAAGGTGCCCCTTCCCTCCCACCTCAGAGAGATCCCTGACAGTGTGGATGCAGTTCTGCTTGGGCAGAGAAGGGAGAATTGGCAGGAGGCCCTTCTTGAGCCCTTCTTTATCCCACAATCCTAAGCCCCTCTAGGTGAGGGCACGAGAGTAGGGGGTCAACACATCTCCCCCAATAAGGGCGGAGGGAGCAGCCTTAGGACCCAGAGGGAAGGCTGGGAAGCGTCTAGGGAATGGGCCCTGAACTGGGCACTTATCTGCTTGCAGGCCTCTGCCTATGCTACGACTGACACTCACAGATGACCTGGGCCACCGTCATCACGGGGCCAGACGGGGATGCTCCTGAGCAACAGCGACAGCCTGTGGGGTGGGGGCAGGGGTGGGGAGGAGGATACTGGCAGCTCAGACCGGGTGGACACCACAGCCTTGAGGGAATGGGGACGAGGGCCCAGGGATCCTGGACAAAAGACTAGATGGCAAGGCCGTGAGGAAACAGCAGTGAAAGTAGATAAAGATGAGAGAGGAACCCGTCTCGGCTCAGAGCAGAAGGGCTGAGTGTCGGGACAGGGAAGAGGTCTGAGGAGAGGGCAATCAGAGGTCAAAGGCCAATGACTGCAAACACCTGAGTTGGTGAAAAGCCGAGTGATGAAAGTTAAACAAGGGGTGGGGAGATGAGAAGGGACCAGGAGGCTGAAGATGGGACTGTTCTTTCCCTGAATGCACCTAGGAGGTAGTTTCTGCTGCCTCGCCCTCCCACCCCCAGGACTAGCTCTGTCAGGAATCAGGAGGAATGTGCCAAAGGTGAAACAGGGCACCGGATCAGAGCCAGAAACCCTCTGGGAGGCCCCGCCCCGAGTCTTGAGGTGTAATCAACTTTCTGGAGGTTCCATGCCCCAGGGCCCCAACGTAAGTGGGACTCGCAGGGCACTATGGGTACCGCCCTATCGCCAAACGCCTGGCTTCTCCCCAGCCCCACCTTGCTGCATGATCTCCACGATCTGCACCACCTTATCCATGTGTTTCCGAGCAGCAATCAGCCCCTGCAGCATCAGCATCTTGTAGTAGTTGAACATGTCGCCATCCAGGCCGCCCATCACCTGGGAGGAGAGGAGAGAGCTGTGTGCGCAAAGGGGCTCAGTGTCAGAACTTCCTCCCTTGGGCAAACGTGCCAAACTCCGTTACTTCCCCAACTCTTATCAAGCAGGAAGCCTCCCAGGACATCCAACCTCACCCTGACTTATTGCCATTTCTGTTCTGTTTGTCCCCATTTGGGGGGAGCCCATCAGCTCCCCATCCCACAACAGAAAGAACACAGTGAGACACCTCTCCTTCCTGACTCACGTCTACAAACTCTGTGGTCAGCTTAAAGGCTGATGTCTCAAAGCCCAGGTTTCGGGGTGAGCTGGACAGGATGAAGCCAAAGTCGATGTGGATGATGTGGCCTTCTGCGTCCAACAGGATATTCCCATTGTGTCTGAGGAGGGGGCAGAGGAGAGGAAGAGGCAGTAGTAAGTCCCACTGAGGTGGGAGCTTCAAGCTGCAACACACTGGCCACATGACACCAGGCAAGGGCCCTGCCATGTTTCCTGCTGCCTATAACTCTGGGTCCAACCTTCTAGAAGCCAAAGCTAGCAGTGAGAAGAAAGGAAATCAGAAAAGTAAACTGCTAACAAAGGCTGTGGGGTCTCATTCGCTATCATTAACAGCTTAATCAAATAGGTTAAGATTATCCAAATTTCCCAGTGACTGTGATTCTAAGCACCCAAGCCAATCCCAATCTAGCAGAGAACTGGGAAGCTAGGAAAGAAGGACTGTGCCCTCCAACCAGCCTTTACAGAGGCCAAGCACTTGGCTTAGGGGGAGGCCTCCAGTCACAACCTAAAATTACCTGTGTTCTGTTTGTAATTCCTATCGGCCCATTGCAGATCAGAAGCCCCACACCACCGGAAGGGAGCAGAGATCCCAGGCTGAGTGAAGTTTAAATGTGAAATAGTCTGGGGCTTCAGTTTTAACCATCTGGTAAAACCACTTATGTAAAAAAATTCTCAGGAGGCAATTCCTACAGGCTAGCTGCTGGAAGAGCAGTTAAAGGCAGATAAATCCTAGGTCTCTGTGATTCCCACATGAATGGCCAGTCGAAAGGGGAACAATTAACATGCAAAGCATGTGAGGCCTGGCCCATAACGGACCTCCTCAGTGTCAACAGAGGCTTTGTTAGGCTAAGAGCTCACGGTCTGAAGCCACCTTCTCTGGGGTTGGTCTGACTGGCCAAAAGACGGGACAGAGGGAGAACCCAGTCCCACCTGAGTCCTTCCCCCTCTGAGAAAGCATGACAAATTTAGCAACACACACAATCTTGAAAGCCAGAGAGTTCTAGATGTCCTAGTCCAGCCTCTCATTTTACAGGTGAGAGGTGAGAAAACAGAGGCCCTGAGAGGAAAACTGACTTACTTGTCCAAGGTCCCAGGCCAGTGAGAGGCAGTTTCTCTCTCTCCTTAAGTGGAGTTAGCTCCAGCCGCAAAGCTACGGGGGACGCATTCTGAAGCAGTTAAGGAGACCTTCAACTGCTTCCAGCTTGGGGCCCCCTTCACTGCTGCCACTTCTCTCCAGTGGATGAGTCCATTCATTACTTGACTACATCTACTCTTTTTTGAGTTATGAAAGGTTTACCAGCTGCCTGTCCCCCTCTCCCCCTTTTAAAGGATGGACTCCCATCTTCCAAATATATTAGTCTCCTAAGGAAAAGCCCAGAGGCCTGACTAGCACCTGCTTCTCTGCCTCCACTTACTCAACCCAAGGGTTCAGGCTCCAGGCTTTCTGGGCCCTGGGTTCCAAATGCTGACTCTTTAGGGACAGTCTAAAGCTTGCAACCAGATTCCTTATAAATAATGACGTTTCCCTCAGTCCTCAAATGCAAAGCCTCTGCTGGCTTTATCTGTAAGGCTGGCAGGGTGGAAGGAGCACAGGTTCTGAAAGTTCCCTGACCCTTATTTCCCTCCTGAGGAAACACCTGTCTAACAGCATTTTCATCTGGTTTCAACATAAGAATGTCAGGCCAAACAGGCCTGTGAAAAGATGCTCAACACTGCTAATTATTAGAGAAATGCAAATCAAAACCAAAATGAGGTAACACCTCATACCAGTCAGAATGGCCATCATCAAAAAGTCTACAAATAATAAATGCTGGAGAGGGTGTGGAGAAAAGGGAATGTAAACTGGTGGAGCCACTATGGAAAACAGTATGGAGGCTCCTTAAAAAACTAAAATTAGGACTTCCCTGGTGGCACAGTGGTTAAGAATCTGCCTGCCAAAGCAGGGGATACGGGTTCAATCCCTGGTCCAGGAAGATCCCACATGCCACAGAGCAACTACGCCCGTGCGCCACAACTCCTGACCCTGCACGCCACAACTACTGAGCCTGTGTGCCACAACTACTGAAGCCCGCACACCCTAGAGGCCGTGTTCCACAACAAAGAGAAGCCACCACAATGAGAAGCACGTGCACCGCAGCGAAGAGCAGCCCCCACTCGCCACAACTAGAGAAAGCCCGTGTGCAGCAAAGAAGACCCAACACAGCCAAAAATAAGTAAATAATAAAATAAAATAAAACTATAAAAAAAACCCCCTAAAATTAGAGTTATCATATGATCCAGCAATCCCCCTCCTGGGCTGTATCTGGAAAAGACAAAAACTCTAATTAGAAAAGATACATGCACTGGACTTCCCTGGTTGTGCAGTGGTTAAGAATCTGCCTGCCAATGCAGGGGACAGGGGTTCAAGCCCTAGTCCGGGAAGATCCCACATGCCGCGGAGCAAATAAGCCCATGCGCCACAACTACTGAGCCTGAGCTCTAGAGGTGGTGAGCCACAACTACTTAAACTCACATGCCTAGACCCCATGATCCACAACAAGAGAAGCCACCGCAGTGAGAAGCCCATGCACCGCAACGAAGAGTAGCCCTCGCTTGCAGCAACTAGAGAAAGCCCACGCTCAGCAACGAAGGCCCAACGCAGCCAAAAATAAATAAATAAATAAAAAGAAAAGATACATGCACCTCAATGTTCACTGCAGCATTATTTACGATGTGGTGTGTATGTGTGTATGTATGTATACACACACACACACACACACACAAACACACACACTGGAATATTACTCAGCCACAAAAAAGAATGAAATAATGCCATCTGCAGCAACAGGGATGGACCTAGAGATCATCATACTAAATGAAGTCAGTCTGAAAGACAAATATTATGTGGTATCACTTCTATGTGGAATCTAAAAAACTAATACAAATGAACTTTTTCACAAAACAGAAACAGACTCACAGACACAGAAAACAAATTTATGATTACCAAAGGGGAAGGGGGCAATAAATTAGGAGTATGGGATTAACAGATACACACTACCATACATAAAATAAACAGGGGTTTCCCTGGTGGTGCAGTGGTTAAGAATCCGCCTGCTGGGCTTCCTGGTGGTGCAGTGGTTGAGAGTCCGCCTGCCGATGCAGGGGACACAGGTTCGTGCCCTGGTCTGGGAAGATCCCACATGCTGTGGAGCGGCTGGGCCCGTGAGCCATGGCCACTGAGCCTGCGCGTCCGGAGCCTGTGCTCCGCAACAGGAGAGGCCACAACAGTGAGAGGCCCACGTACCGCAAAAAAAAAAAAAAAAAAAAAAAAATCCACCTGCCAATGCAGGGGATACATGTTCGAGCCCTGGTCCGGGAAGATCCCACATGCCGCGGAAGCAACTAAGCCCACGTGCCACAACTACTGAGCCTGTGCTCTAGAGCCTGCCTGCCACAACTACTGAGCCCCCGTGCCACAACTACTGAAGCCCATGCACCTAGAGCCCATGCTCTGCAGCAAGAGAAGCCACCGCATTGAGAAGCCCACACACCGCAGTGAAGAGTAGCCCCTGCTCGCTGCAACTAAAAGAAAGCCCGCACGCAGCAATGAGGACCCAATGCAGCTAAATAATAAAATAAATTAATTAAAAAAAAATAATAATAAAATAAACAACAAGGATTTACTGTATAGCACAGGGAAGTGTAGTCAATATCTTGTATAAACCTATAATGGAAAAGAATCTGAAAAAGAATATGTGTGTGTGCGTGTGTGTGTGTATACCTGAATCATTTTGCTATACACCTGAAACTAACATAATATTGCAAATCAACTATACTTCAATTAAAAAAAAAAAGAATGTTAGGCCATCATAGGCACTTAATAGATGCTAGATTTCTGATAAGCGGCTCTGTTTAGCTGATCTTAAGGTGCTGCCGTATCACTGGAAGCACAGGCCACTGAATTAGTGCTTTCCCAGGACAGCTGCCCTATGCCCTCGGAGAGGCACAACTCACAGGAGCATTCTAGGTACTGACCCTGAGTCACTGTCTGGAGACTGTCTTAAAAAGCAGAGCCTCAAGGGTGTAATTATCTTTATACGGTATGTTGTTCATCTACATGCGAAGTTGAGCTTCATAAAGGTCACATGATATCGAGAGAAATGACAGCTCTGGGCAAAACAACAGATATGTAAGAGTTTTGGAAATCATATGTTGGAACAAGGAGGAGCGTTTAGGGCTGGGAGTTTCAACTCTGTGTCCACCATGTGTCTCACATCCATCTGCTCCTTTCTGCCGTCAGTCACCACCACTGCCCTCAGGCCAGGCCTCACTACCTCTAGCTTCACTGCAAAGGCCCACTTACATCCAACCTCACCCACAGTGCCAAACGGCACATTCACTCAACACAGACTGGATCATGGCATTCCCTCTGCCTGCAGAATAAGACTCCTCAGCCTCATAATGAAGGCCCCACTAATCTGGCCTCAACTTACCTGACGTCACTGCTACTACTGTGCCATGCAGTGTGGCCCAAGCTTTAATCACCTCGAGCGGTCTCCTCTGCCTGGGACATCCTTCCCCCACAGCTTTCTCTGTCCTCATTCTCATTCGTCCTTCAAAACCCTGCTTGCTCAAACCCTTGCTCCTCCCATAAATCCTTCACTTCTTTGGCCCTTACCCTGGTACTTGTCAGTCTGCCTCCTAGCCTTAATGGCACATGAATGTGTCTGTCTCTGCTTAAAATATGTTGTTTGTTTCATCTTTACATTTTGGCAATGGAAGGTCATGACGAATAAATGAAGGGACAGAGGGAACCCTGAAGAAAAGGTTAGGACGAGGGACAGGAATTCACCTACCTGTCCTTGACTTGCAGCAGGTAGCAGACCAAGCAGTAGCCAGCACAACTCTGCACAAAATTGCGCTGGGCACTGAGGAATGCCTCAGTAGTGTAACTGCCATGCTCCTGCAGGAAGTAATCGAGCAAGGAGAGCTGTGACTGTTTCTTCACCTGGTGGATAGACACAGCATTGACCACTGGTTCAATCATGCCACTGTCGGCCGAAATCACAAGAATCTTGTATGGCTTGATCCACAGGGGTACTCGCTCCTGTTCCCAAATGGACTGTGAGGAAACACAGAGGCATTGTGACTCTCTCTAAATGGGGGTAGGAGGCTAAAATCCCCTCTGTCCCCAACCTTGGACAGTTCCCATCTTTACTGGCCTTGAATTCTAGGCCACCAAGTGAGTAAAACCCCCTGATCCCACTGAGAACCAGGAAGTTTGTGTGTGTGTGTGTGTGTGTTACGCGGGCCTCTCGCTGTTGTGGCCTCTCCCGTTGCGGAGCACAGGCTCCGGACGCGCAGGCTCAGCGGCCATGGCTCACGGGCCCAGCCGCTCCACGGCATGTGGGATCTTCTCAGACTGGGGCACGAACCCGTGTGCCCTGCATCAGCAGGCGGACTCTCAACCACTGTGCCACCAGGGAAGCCCAGAACCAGGAAGTTTTGAAAGGAAGTCCACGGTGTGACAAGACACAGGGTGGCATGTGGGAAAAGGTATCTCATAGAGAGATATCCAAAAAAGGGAGGGAGAAGAGGAAACCTTGCTGTCACCTCCCAAGCTGGGTGAGTGGGACCTATTAACCCAAGTTGAAAGAACAGGGATAAAGACCAAAAAGGATTTAGGGTCAGAGAAAGTTTCTCCAGAAAATGAAAATATTTATATAAAGAACTGATTAAACAGGTGAAGTTGCTTGTAGGCAACTAACCTGGGGGTCAGGGATTGACATCTCAGCCCACTGCAACCCACTTGCTGCAAATCAGTTGGGAGTTCCCATCAGTGATTAGAACAGGCGCCAGTCACAAAAGGGCCACAAGAGGTCGCTGTGGAGCTGCTCCCGGGGCTGTACTTCCTGGTAGGAGCACCAGCTTAGTTTAACGTAAATCTAACTTAGACCTGGGCAGGAAGATGGTCTCCAGTGGAGCTCCCTGCAGAAGGACCTGCGTGATCACCTCAGGTGGGCTGCACGTGGGCTGAGTTTCCCTTCTTTCTCCCTCCCTTCTCTTACCTGCAGTTGCTTCAACACCTGGAAGGCCAGCAGCTCCTGCCGAAGGTCATCCCCACACTTGACAATGACTGACAGGAGCCGCCAATTGGGGAGATGGCCATAGGGGGAGCCCTCTCTAATGCGCCTGTGAAGAGAAGCAAAAAGGTGTCAAAGGGTGATGCCAGGTTGAGGACAGAGACACGGCTTCTATCAAAAATCCAAATCAGGGCTTCCCTGGTGGCGCAGTGGTTGAGAGTCCGCCTGCCGATGCAGAGCACATGGGTTTGTGCCCCGGCCCGGGGAAGATCCCACATGCCGTGGAGCGGCTGGGAGCGGCTGGGCCCGTGAGCCATGGCCGCTGAGCCTGCGCGTCCGGAGCCTGTGCTCCGCAACGGGAGAGGCCACAGCAGTGAGAGGCCCGCGTATCGCAAAAAAAAAAAAAAAAAAAAAAATCCAAATCAAACTCCTCACAAGGTAAGGACTCAGACCACCGCCTGGGGGCCTGATGGATTTTGCCGGCGGGTGTTGGGCTGAGAGACAGTATGGATGGTGGACCCCACCCAACTCACCGCACTTTCTCCTGCCAGGGCTCTTTGAGAGCAACTGCAGAAGGGTCTTCTGGGTCTCGTTTGAAGGCTGTGGGGGTGTGAGCCAGCTGCTCCGAAAGGCGCCGTCTAGCAGGAAGAAACTATATCATTTGCTTGGAGGAGTTACCCCAGATCCTCATGTCCCTGTCTATGCCAGCATTTCCTGCACTGTTTCCTTGATTCTGGGCACACAGAGATAGAAACCTGGGCTGAGAGAGACTCATGGAAGGAAACACACCACTGATATCTTTTTGCTAACCTGGTGGTTTGTAATCATGTTCAATGCAGATTACCAGGCCCTGCCCATTCTCCTACCAAGATTCTGCATTCAGAACAGGTGTGGCTCCCGCATCTGCATTTCCAACAAGATCTCCTCCCTCTCCCTGGATTCTGACACGTGTGTCCTCAGACCCACTCGGGGAAACGCTGTTGTAATTCCTTCCTCTGGTGCTTTCATTCCTTTGGAGTCCTTTTAAAATGTAACTTCTTTCTGTAGTAGCCCAGTAATTTCTCAACCCACACCTTCAATGCCTCAAGTTTGGTGGCCTCAGGACATGGACAGAGTAAGGAGAGAGAAGAGGGAAAGATACAGGCTGACAGACAGGAAGGGGACAAAGAGAAAGGCAGTGCCTAAGAGAGGGATGAAAAATGACGGGCAACATGGTCTGGCCATACCGGATGTCGCCTGCTGCAATGAACACAGGCTCCTTGCTCTCCTGGCTGGTGATGCTGTCCACGGAGAACTGGGAGATGTTGTCACAGCTGTTGGTGTGCACTTCAGGGAGCTGGGGAGAGCAGGGGACTGCAGGTCAGAAGCGCTGAGCACAGGGGTTGCCTCTTTCACCTCCTCCTCAGATCACCCTGCGTGCTGCCATCTCCAAGACACGATCAGCCCTCCCTTCCAAACCCTGCTCCAAAAAGCCTCCCCTGGTTATGCACCATCCTGACCACTTGGACCCCAAACTGCCTAGGCCCCCCCCCCCCACAGATCCTCTAGCAGTGTTTTTCAATGTGTCAACTACCTCCATCAGAATTACCTGGAATGCTGCTAAAACGTTGATTCCCAAATCCCACCATCAATCTGAATTAGAATTACTGGGAATGGGATCTGGAAGTCTGAATTTCTAACGAGTTCTCCAGAAGACTTCTAACACACTCAAGTTTGCAAACCACTGCCATGACCATCACAGAAAGCTGAACTTTCAGCCTTATATCGAGAGCTCCCCAAGGCCAGGGATGCATTCTCCCTTAGGGTCCAGAAAAGACCCTCTCCAGGCTAGGTTCCTCTGAGCAATTTCTTCAACCTAAGTCATTCAGTCTTATCTCCCCATCTCTCTCTAACTATAAAATATTCTACCAGACCCCAAGGTCCATATCAAGTCCCTTCTTTACTCTTTCCTTTGTACAAGTGCATTTCTCCTTAACCCCATTGATCACTTACTGCACACTGCCTTGTTGTGTATCTTATACATAGATTTTTTTCTTAAATGTCTGCATCCAGTCTCCCCATTTGGACTGTAAGCTCAAGTGGAGAGTCTGCCTTTCCACAAAGTGAAATCTGGCTGTGCTACAGCTCTAATAAAATCCTGCTCTGGATCCCTACAACCCCAGAACAAAATCCAAGTTTCTTTCCACAGCTTACAGGATCCTTCTTACAATCTGGCCCATGACGGCCTCTCCAGCCTCATTCTTCACCACCTCCTCATCTCACGACCACACATCACAGTCACACAAAATTTCTTTCTATTCTTAAAATGGGCCAAGCTCTCTCATGTCTTCCAGTCTTTGCACTTGCTGTCTCCTCTGCCTGGAATACTCTGTACAGCTAATTCCTACCTACCTTCAGGCCTCAGCTGAGATATTATTTCCTCCAAGAAATCTTTCAGGGCGTGTCCAATCCCAAGTCTGGAATAAGTGCTACCTCCACCCTCAGGTGCTCCCATGATACCCCATCCTCTCCAGCACAACCTGGATCACACCACACTACATCTACCTGCTGACTGGCCTTGTTCTCTCTCCTATTAGGTCATAAGCCCCTTGCAGGCAGGGGCCAAGCCTTGTTTACTAGCATACAGCACTCAGGGCTGGCACAAAGGCCCTCCATAAACATTCCTTGAATTAATGAATGTATGACTGATTCTTCTCTGCGTTCCTAAGACAACTTTATATCGCAGGTGTTCAATATATATTTTGATTAAATTTTTCACACTCCCCTGGGCTTAGAAGTTCCTTCTTACAGTAAGCCTAAATTCTTCTTGCAGGAAAACGAGCTCCACCTGAATCTGTTCCAGACCAGAGCTGTTCAGAGCTGTCCCCTCTCACACCTGTCACTACCTATGGCACTCATTTGGGTACTTGCTTCAGCCTGCCTCAGGGTGTGTTGTGTTGTCTCAAATACATTGAAAGTTCCAGAATAGGTGCTGTGCCCTTGGAGCTCCCTCACCTCCACCTGCAGCTCGCCTATGTCATCCACCGACCAGGCCTCATCATCGTTGTCATAGTTGGGCACAGTGCTGAAGCTGCCTGCCCGCTGCTCATGGGTGATGCCGCATTCGGGCAGGTTCTCTACAGACCGGGTGCTACGAATTCGGTTCTCCGGGATCCGGGCGGGGACGTTGGTGGTGTCGAAGTTTTCACATTCGAGGACTTCCACATAGATCAGGTAGGGAGCCTGCGGGTAAGTGAGAACAGTATTTGCAGCTTACCTCCACCACTGTTCCCCCCAAACCTCAACTCTGCTAACACGGTTCTTCCTGCTGCCCACTCCTGCTCCAACCTGAGTCCATCAGTCCCCTGACACCGGGAATGCCATATTTAGGGCAGGAACTTATCCTATGGGTGCTGCTACTTTGTGAGCTCCAATTCTTGGTGTCTTTCAGTTCTCTCCTTAATTAAAAACATACCTGAGGTGTTTCCCTCTTCAGCCATGGCTGAAATATTATAAAATACTAGTTTTTTCCCCTGAAGTGCTTCTTAAATGTTGGTTTGCATGAGAACCACCTGGGGTGCATGTTGAAAACTGACTTACTTGGGGCCCAACCCAAATCTAGTAACTCAGTCTGGGGCTGGAGCCCAGGAATCTGCATTTTTAAAAAGGCATCCACCTTCCCCAGGTGGTTCTACTACAAGAGGTGTCCTCCAAACTGATCAGGACACAGTCTCGTAAAGCAGTGGTCCACACACTATTCTGCTTATGTACTTCCTAAAAGTATTTTGAAAAATCATGTATCCCCTCAGTTTTAAGTTGACAGCTAAAATTTTTCATGGGAAGTTAGTTGCCAAAGTATATACTTTCTGGTGTCATGCAAATATTGATATTTTAAAATAAAACTGTTACATCACTGTCTTAAAAAAAAAAAGAATTTGGCTGAGAGAGTACACAGGTCTGTAAAATGTTTCAGCTGAGCTTCAAAATGTATAGAAGAAGCACCCGGGCAAAACCATTCCAAACCATCAATTACCACCCATTCAGAGAGGCCTGAATGCCTCTGTGGGCTTGTCCTAAAAACAGACAAAAAGACTGGGAAAAAGTTGGGCACCGTTCCAAGCAGGATTCTAATCTTCAATACGTCTTCTGGGGAAAAAATCTGAACCATTAGTGCTCATTTCAACCAACAGACTAATTTAGCTAATTCTCTCCTTCTCCCTGCCCACTGTGATCAGAAAAGGTCTTAGAAACAAAGATTTCTCTACTCTCATTGTTGCTGTACCTGGAAAGCCTAAGTGTTATAGAAGGGCTGGAGAAGAGCTACCAAAAGGACTGTGAGGAGGGGAGGAGAGCAGCTCTCTCCTGAGACATGGCAAGAGGCAAGCTGAAAAGATCAGGCCTCTTTGATCCAGAAAAACAAAGCCCAAGAAGGGGGACAGGAGGGCCCTCGGAATCACAACGGTACTCAGATGAAGTCAAGGCTGACACGTGCACGTGGGCTACGGAGGGAGTCTAGGATGCTGGTGGGGCACCCCTGGGCACATACACACACCGTGGACAACGACAGGAGTAGAGTCAGATGAGGGGTATGGTTTGGGCCAGAGCCCACCTACCTTGTCCTTAGAGTTGAGGACAACAGCCTGGGTGTGGGGCACGCGGACCACGTGGTGGTCAAAGGCAGCAGTGGGCAGCCAGACTCGGGCAGGGAGCTTATGGTTGAGCAGGGAGAGCTCTGAGATCAGCCGCTGTGTTTTCTGTTCCTTGGTGGGGAGCGTGGCCAGCCGCTTGCCAATCGCCATCAGGGACTTGATGAATTCTCGCTCGGGAGCCAGTCTGACGGGCTACAGGGGGTTGGGGTGAAGTAAAAGATGGTGAAGAAACCATAGAAAAAATGGCCCAGTCACTCCTGGCCATGTAGGGCAGGAGTCTCAGTGTCTCTAGAACTCCAGGGAAGGAGCTACCTTTAGGCCCTTGTAGGAGATCCCACCCACCCCTGTCAACCTGAATTGGGAACAGGTGGAAAAGCCAGCACAGTCCTTCTCCACAGGCTATTTCTTGAGGGTAAGGGGGGGATGTGTGAATCCAGGTCACCAGGTGCACCCCTCTTCTCTTGGACCTGAGTTTCTGAGCAACTGTCCCAAGGCTTCAAGATGGGTGGGGGGATGACATCCAGAGAGGTCAGCCAGGGACCCAGAGAGAAATGCTGCTTACACCTGAAGTGCTTCACCCATCTCCAGAATGAGGCTGTCCCCCTCCCCACCTGGATGCTTGGGCTGGGTCTCCGCCAGGGCCCACAAGGCTAAGGAGGGGAACGGCGAGTCAGTATTTCCCCTTTCAAAGGATGACTCAATCCATAAGTGACTTTTGATGCTTTCAACGGCATCCCCCTGTCCACCCCACAATCTCTCACAAAGGGTCAATGCACATGCAGGGGATGAGGGAAGGATGAGCTGACTTTGCACTAATGAGGGAATGATCAATGGGGAAAGAAAAAGCAGACGGTGGGAGGTACGGGTGGGCAGGTGGGTGGAGAAAACAATAGCTCCTTTCAGCCCCTGATGATGGCCCTGAAGACCTGTCTTTTTCAGTGAATCCTCCTTGGATCCTCTTCCCCTACCTCTCAGGGACTAGGCTCCCCATATTAGCTCCCTCCTGTGAAACTGGCTGCTCACGTTGGACACTTCATTGTCAGAAAGGGCAAAGTCAGTCTGGGGAGTAAGGTGGGGATGGGGAAAAAGATGGACTCAGCTAGACGGGAAGAAGGGCTCTTTTCCCACCCTAAGTCCTTCTACCGTAAGGGGCATTTTATCAGGATAGCCACCCCGTTCCATCTCTCCTCACCTAGATAAGAACAGTTATCTCTTCCTCTTATAGGAACAGTAGTATTTCACTCACCAGGCTTCTCTCCCTCTCTGTGTGTCTTGCTTAGTTTCCTGAGTGAGAATTTCTACCCTCACTCCCTCACACTACAAAAAAGAACTTCTTTTGAAAGCTGGGCAGTACCATGCCCACCTCTGCATGTGCACAGAGCCAGTGTTCAAAGGGACAGCTCATCTCTCAGCCTCCACCCCACAGGGGGCTGGCTCAGGTCCCCATACAATAATGAAAAACAGGGTGTCTGAATCAGTCAGGAATGCTTTGGGAGGCAGGGTTGAACAGAGATAAAGACAGGAAGACAATAGAACTAGACCTCTGTGGTCCCTGGAAATATCCCAGGGGCTTAATAGAGAAAGAGAAAGAAAGGAAAAGGAAATTTGGAGACTCACTCCTTCGTTCATCCTTATCTCCTAATCCATCCACTCAGGTGGCAAATGGTCATGGTCCCAAGGATCCTCCACCCCAAACAATTCATAGTTATCTCAGATTAGAAACAACAGAATTCCTTCCCATCCTCAATTCAGCATTTGTGTCAGGGGCCCCTAAGTCACATCAGCAAGTTGGAAATATGACCCCAGGCCTTGAGAGGGAGGCACTGCCACAATTATGACTGAAAGGGGATCAGCACAGAACAAATTGATTGGGTAGACAAATCAAAAATAAAGTGTAAAAAAATCATCCAAACTCCCAGAGGGTCCAGCATTTCCTCTCACGTCTCTGCCCAGCAACAAGGTCCGAGACCCTGTGGGACCAGAGGGTCAGGGGTTAGTTCAGAGGGAACAAGAAAGGAGAATGAGGATTAAGGAACATCGTGGGCAGTGAGCTGGGAAAGGGAAGAACTCAGACCTGGAAGAAATGTGGTTGAAGTTGAAAAGAAAACTGGCTGTGGGGAGGCAAAACTTTCCTTCAGGCCAAATCCTGTTTGCTTTTCGGGTCAGCTCACCCAGCACAGGGCCTAGCATTTGGAAGACACTGAATAAGTATTTGATGGTCTGATGGCACAAGCCATGGGGAAAGGGTTCTGGGTGGGAGAAACAGGATCCTCAGGGTTTCCTGCCAAGCAGTTTTTGGCTCCAATCCAGGGATAAATTCTACCTCTCTCCCAGCTGTTTGCTCTAGAGACCCAGGAGCTGGGGGCTGAGTTGCACTGCATCCCAGCTGTCTCTGGGAGAAGGATCAGCTGAGCCCCACTCAGCCTGGGCTCAGAGCACTGGCAATAAACAGCAGGGGGCTCCTCCAGGCCTGGGAGGGAGGAGCTGATGTCCCAGGAAGAAAAGGCACCTTTTAACTCCAGCCTTGGCCTGGGGACTCAGAAGACCTGGGGACGGAGAGGAAATGCGGCCATGGGGGGAGCCTGCCACCCAGTCCCAGCCTGGCCCCACTTACGGAACTGAATGAAATATCAATACTCTCGGTGCTGGAGGAGAGCTCCTGGGAAAGGGCCGGAGGGCAAGGGGAGAAGGAGGGGGCGGGGAGGGAAGGGAGAGAGACAAAGGCAAAGAATTTAGCTCCAACTTGGATCATAACTGCTTCTCTTGTGTAGCTCTCTACCTTTCCGCTTTAATGAAAGAAAGTCAACCCACAAATGCCACTTGCCCAGAATCTTGACACTTGTGGAAGATGCTGGAAAGCTAGTGCAAACCTTGAGGTCAGAAGGGGTGAAGAGACACTGTCCTCTGCTTTTCACTTTCTTCCCTTCTATTCTTGCCTGCACAAGTCTTCCTTCTGGGACAAATCCTAAAGCTGGATCCCTCAGGGAGGTTAACCGCGTTGCCAAGCTTCCCTGCTTTCTCTTCATCCACTCACATGCTCTCAACCAACCCCTTCTCCATGGAGACCACCATCGAGAGACTGAATTTAACAAGCTTCATGGCCCCCACGCTGGAAACCCCATGTTCCTCCAGCTTCTTGGAAACGTCAAGGAGGAAGCAGAAGAGCTAAACTTTCAGTGCCAGGTACATCTCCTCTCTAATCAGCCTCATTGTCACCCTGGGAAACCTAATCCCAACCTTCAATCATGTGACAAGGGATACCATGGACCCATGAGCAGGAAACTTCTGGGCTAGATGCTGCTGGGAGTTAAGGATGAATAACTTTCTTACCTACCAAACTTCTGTAGGCTTCCTATCAGGGTATTTCACATGATACTCAATAAATTACAATTTTTTTGACATAAGTTGGGGAGCCAGGTACCAGCTGAATCCATCTGAGAAAGCTGAGTAGCTGAGCAGCAGCAGCTGTCCTAGTCCCAGCCCAGGGGATTTAGCTAAAACCTCACCACATTCCTATGTCTTACTGGTGTCTGTAAGCAAAACAGGGGAAAGGGCTGGTACTGAAGCTCATTCAGCGGCTCTGCTGCAGCTCGTGCACAGGCCCATCCTGCGTTGTCCACGAAGGTCTCCCAGAGCAGGAAGAAGGGGCAATACGTGTACACAAATGTGCAGCCTGGACTTGAGAGACAAAGTCCCAGGAACTCCCAGGGCAGGAGGGCAGTGGTCACTGAGCTACTCTGCAATCCGCGTTTCAAGCAACTACTTAATTCAATTCCACGGTTTAAGTTCTATGCTAGCTGGAGGTCCTCTAGTCAGGTCTTTCTTTGAAGAACCTAGGGAGAGGGGCACTTTGAGGGAGAAGCCAAGCTGAACACTCTCCCAAGGCAACAACTGCTTTGGGCAGGGGTGGGAGGGAGAATTGAGGCGAGGATGCTAGAGGCTATGGTGACTTGTTCAATTTTTACTCATGAGCTGGGTGGGGAAGGAACAGCAGGCAGGATATTGGTTCCATGAGCCACGCTCCAGCTGACTCTCCTACAGACAGGACGGTCCTGACTCATTAACAGCCTTGGGGGAAGGGAGTTATATCATGACCTGCTCCTCTCTCCTACTCTGTAGGCTTGAGTCACTCAAACTGAGTCAGCTCCAAGGAGAAAAGCTTGAGGCCAAGAAGCTGACATCACACTCTATTAGGCTGAAAGGCCTGCTGGGGCTTACAGTGTGATACGCAGCATATTTCTCTGTACAAAGGTTATAGCCCTGAGAAGACAAAGCTGATCTACAAGTGTCATTATGTGGGGTGTGGGGCTAGCAGCTAAATTACTGCCCCCTGCACCCCCAACCCTATGCCAGAATATTTACCATTTGGTTACAACTGCAAAACTGCCTGAACAGAGTTCCCTGACTAGGCTGATAGAAACTGCTTTGAAGGAGTGGGCTTGGAAGGGTGGAGAATGGTGGGAGATGGAAGGAATCAGTGCTAGAGCCCTCTGAATGTAGGGGAGAGTGTAAAGGATTCCTCATTAAAAGAAAACAACCTTCTGTGAGATCTGGGCAGAGAACTCTGTAGGGATACCCCAGGCAGGAAGAGACTTGTATGAGCACCTGGGCCTTTTCTTTGAGGCCTCTCTTCACCCTCCTGAGCTTCCCTACTGGTGGCAGGAAGGTAGGATTAAACTCCGAACCCACAGGAAAGCAAGAGATGGGGAGCGGTGTGTCTCTCCTTCTGGAGTCTCTGCTCAGACCTGAGATAATTATGTTTTGTTTTAGGAAGCTGTATACTTCCTCCTCATATGCAGGAATCAACATTTCAAGAGACTCACAAGCTCCACCAAGAAACTGTTAGAACTAATTCAGTAAAGTTTCAGGATACAAAATCAAGAGCCACAAAGTAAACAATTTCCTAGTTAATGCGATCTCCAAACTCCCTTGTAAGTTCCTGGAGTGAAGGACAGCATTTTATCCTACATCCTCCACTGCCTCTAGTGCAGGGCTCCACACAGTATACAAGCTCAAGAGCTATATGCTGAGTGAGTAAATGTTGCATGATGGGGAGAAGGAGTATTAGAAAGAAAGAAAGAAAAACAATTCCCTTGGTATTTGGGAGACAAAGGCCTTGAAAGATGTATCCTCAAAATGCCAAAGGGGTTTGGAGAGACCTCTGTGCTGAAGACTCCAATGCTTAGACCCCTGGTGACTCTCACTCTCACATTTCCTGAGGAGACACAGTGGATTCAGGTGTCTCTTTCTGCCAGCATCAGATAACATGGGAGTGCCTGGGGACATGGTATCTCCTTCCTTTCCTGGATCTATTGACCCAAGATAAAGGAGCCAGGTTGGGAAGAATGGCAGCTGGAGAAGCCAACCTAGAGGATTTAAGCACTCACAGAATAACTGTGTCTCAGCATCACCCCAAATCTCATCCTAGGCAGGAGTTAGATGCAAGGAAGAGGGACTGAGGACCAACACAGAGTAAGAAAAGCCAGAGGCCTCAGTTTTTCTGGTCCTAAGATGAGAACTACAAAATGCCTGCATAGAAAAGCCAAGAGGCACCAAGGGATTCACTTGCAGCTGCTCCCACTCATACTGATAGAGGCTCCCTCTAATGCCCCAAGAGGAGGAGCTCCCAAACACTTCACGACCTTAGTCCCACCGGCTCTGGATGATTCTTCTTGCTGTGCAACAGCCTCCCTTCATGACCCTGGGCTGCCCTGCCAAGCTCAACCAGAAATGAAAATGGTCTATTCTGGTTCTGAGAACACTTGGGCTCTGCCTGTGCATGGATGTGGAAACCTTCATGGCTAAGGCCTAGGCTGTTCTTCCCCATATGGACTCTGACAGCTGAGGCCTGGTCTGATATGCACTGGTTGAGAGACCTGGGGCAAATCATCTAACTGCTCTAAGCTGTTTCCTCAATGGTAAAATAATACCTGTCTCTTAGGGTTGTTGTGAGGATTAAATGTAAAGTATTTGACATGATGCTTGGTACGTAGTAAGTGCTCAATAAATGTTAGTTCCTTTAGCTTCACTATTATTCTCATAATAAAATACCGAATTTCCACAGAGACCAGGCTCTGTAGTCTCCCCTGCTCTTGCCTTTTCCCTTCCCTAGTCACTCTGACCTCTCTCTAGTTGAAAGAAGTCCCATTGTATCAAAAATGTGGGTGGGTTATGTGCCCCACAGAGGCAGATGCCAGCACAACTATATGCATTTTCCAACAACGCAAATTCCTCATTCTTTTCTCCCTTCTTTTCTAGGCTAGGCTGGCAGCCAGGATGGGAGCGTGGCTGGTGGTGAGTCGGGGGTGGGGTGGGGACTGGGGCACCATTGTCTGGCTGGGACATCAGGTCACTGATACTACTGGTTGTCCACCGGGCAACTTCCCCTGCTATCTGTCCAGATATGGAATGAAAGGTGGGTATAACCTACTGATGTGCTTATCTCATCCCTGCTCTATATCCTAAATGGGATACCCTGACTGCTGCTTTCTCTTCTTTAGGTTTCAGGTCCTTGACTAGACGCTGGGTATGCCCGAGATTTACTCTATTACCAGGACTGCTTCCCTCTTCCTTTTGTGCTTCTCCCAAATGATATGGGAAAAAGACAAGCAAGACATCCTTTCCCCCAAGGAAAGGCGGGTGGGAGGGCATTCTGCAGATGCCTCAATGATAGGGAATGAACCTCACCCTTCTGTGAACAAACAGCAGGATCTTCAGGGAGTGGGGGAGAGGGATTATGAGGAGGAGTGGCTAGGAGAATGAAGCTGAGGTTCTACTTAACATCTCCCCTCCCGCAGCACACACAAAATTCACACACAGGGTCCCTTCTCCTCCCCCATGGTTGCTGCTCTGAGAGGTCCTGGTAGATATCCCAGGTTTCAAGTCAGGCTGGGGAGGGTCTCTGCCACAGTTCTCAGTAAGAGAATGGAAGTGCAGTTTAGTAAAAACACATTGGACAGAGTCAGGAGTGTCAGCCTTGCTGTTAGCTATATGACCTGAGGAAAGTCACTTTATCTCTCTGGGTCTCCAAGTTCTTCCTTTGTAAAATGAGGCAGCTGGAATACATGAATTCTAAGGTCTTTTTCCATTCTAACATTCCATGCTTTTATCAGTGAAATGAAACAGAGGGACGGAGAGAAAAGGACAGAGGAACCCTATGTCAGACATCCTGGCTCCATGCCACCTTGCTTACCCCGTCCCTCCCGGGGATTTTACCTCATCCTCATTCTCCACTTTAGGATTGCTGGCTGTTCGTTTCAGGTTGCTGCTGAGACTTATGCTGGCGGTGGCATCTGACTTAGAGCGCTGGTGAGTCCTTTTAGAGGGAGACAGCCCTGTGTCAGGGGCTGGGCTCAAGGAGGGCAGCTCCCTCTTTCGGTGAGCTGGCTTCAGCTCATCTGAGAGGATTAGCTTCCGGAGCTTGGTCCCGCGGGAGTGTCGTTGAGTGGAAATGTGCATGTCTGAAGAGTAGGCCCCCAGCAACAGGGCACACTGGAGAGAAAAGTTAATGCTCTGGCGGCAACGGTGGACGATGTAGGGCTTGATGGCATCACCCACGTCCTCATCCATGTGAATGTACATGTTAAGCAACTGGGGCAAATAGAAGTCCACGTCCTCATTACGAAAGCAGAAGAGCCGGTTGCCGATGTACGCTTGCACTCCAGGCTCCTTGGAGTTATACAGGTATGAAATGGCCATGGAGATGTCAAATAGTTTCGACTCAAACAGCCTCAGCAGCCAAGACTGTTTGGCTGAGTTGTTCTGCCGCCGCCTTCTTGCTCCCTTGGCTGTGCCCGAGGCCACTGTGGCCCCCATCTCATCTTCCTCCTCCCTTATCTGAGAGGGTGGATCGTCCAGGCAACGGATCTCACTGTCCACACCATCCCCATTGACCAACTCCAGTGGGGTGCCTCTGCTAGAGATGGCCACGCCTCCATGCAAAAGCTTGACTTTCTCCAGCACCTCCTGGCAGGCCTTCTGGGCCACCTCAGGGTCAATCACTGATAGTTCCCCGACCCCCTCCGTGATGACACTTAGCAAGGAGCCCCCATTGTTCCCTGATGGGCCAGGAGTGGGCTCAGAAGTTGGCTTCAGCGGGGCAGGCTCCACTACCGTGTCCCCCATGGCCACAGCCAGACTTCGAGCTTCCAGGCTACGGAAGGAAGGAGGGAGGGAGAAAGGAACAGAAAGGGAGACACGTACACACACTGGTTAGTGGTGCCATCCTCAGGTCTTCCCTTCACCATGAAACCCTCCCTGGCACCTCCTCTCTTTATGTCTTCCTGGACTCATTCAAAATCTGATGAAAAGTCCTCTCCTCCCAGGAAGATTTCCCTGACTACCTCCCTCCACTTCTGATTGCTACATTACTCTTCATTCCTTCTGCACTTAGTTACTCAGCTTAGCTTTTATTCTTAACTTGTATTTGCAGAATGCTGCTTTATATGTGTTTTGTTCATATAGGTTTACAAATTCTTCAGGTAGACTGGGAAGCAATTCTGGTTTTAATTCCCTTGTCCCCAACTCTTCAAATGCTTTTCTATCTCCATATCTCCCTTTAAATGCCTGCCAATAACCTTTTCCTTTTCCTCTTTGAACTGTATTTTCTTACTCATATAACACTCCATACACTGGTCCTGAACATCTCACCTTTATTTAGTGTTAAAATCTTCATGTACTTTTCTAGTTACAGATAATTTCTTACCTTCCCTTTTAGACTCAAAGTTCCCAAGAAATACCATACCAGGCTTCACTGAGAAGAAAAAGCTCTAAAACAACCATCATCCCTGCTGAAGTGTGCCATTTCTCTGTTCATCTGACTTCATGACATCATTCTCCCTTTCTCAAGTGCTGTGGCAGCTGAAGGATAGTGGAAAAACTCCTGAACTTGGAGTCAAATAGGCTGAGGCTCAAAATCCTGGCTCTGCCATTATGAGATGTGTAAACTTACACAAACCACATTGTCTTCTAAGTTTCAGTTTCCTCAACTGCAAAATGGAAAAAACATATCTACTTCTTATTGTTGCTGTGTAGAATAAATAACTTTATGTGTGTAAAGGGATCTAACACAGTCCCTGGTGCACAGTAGTACTTAACAAATGCTAGTTGAATCCTAATCACCTAAAAGGTTAGTAAACAATGCGTGTGCACACACACATGTTGTTTATAAGCAAGTGAATTGCAGTTAATACTCGTTACTTGAAACTCTTCCAAAACAATTATCCCAACACTACTTTCCCCATTCTCATACACACACCCCAAGAACTGAAGGGGCTGTGAGAAGGCAAAAAGATATCAGGCTGGGACTCATGTGTCTAGAATGTCCAAAGAACAGGGAGGGGCAGGAATCACATAACCAAGAATCCCTCTCTGGAGGGACTCTCAGAAGGAAAGTCAGCGAGAGAACACTGTTGATAAAAGCCATTGCCGTTCTAGAATGATTCTTCAGAGCCTCACCAAATCCAAATCAGGAGAATCAGTGCAGAAGAGGAGGAAACTTCAAAGCAAGGGCTGGGAGAGGCACACTGTTAATGTCAGATCAACCCAGCTCCGGAGTCTGGCTGTAGTCAGCAATGGACTCAGAGGCCTTTTCACAAAAATACAAATAGAGTGAATCTAAGACACACTCAAGAGCATGAGCAAGAGAAAGGCAGAAGCAACTGTGGAGCTGGAATGCAGGTAATTTCCAACTGATAGTGACATCAGCTTTGACACTAGTGAACCTGGTTGCACATACTTTGGGTAAGTGGAAGAAGGCTCAAGATACAGATTCTCTAGTCACTCTGCAAAGCCCGGGTTTCCACTGCCACTCTTCCAGTGCCTCTTCTTGCACCGCTGAAATGTTAAGACTCAAGGTTACCTTCATTTGCCCAACATTATATAGTACAGCTCCCTGACTCCCAGCAGTCAACCACTAAAGTTTTGCAGGAAGACAGATGGGGAACTCAAGTTCTCAGAAAGCATCAAAAGTGGCTACTTTGGTTTATCTTTCTCCTAACTCTGTCAAGCAAGAAGTTCATCCCCAAATGTAATTTCTCTGGTGCAGTTTTGAGCTTGGGATCAGCAAAAAGGTGGCAACTCTTTCCCTATGCTCTCTCCCAAATTAGGCAGTGCCCTCTGAGCAGTAGAACCAGCATGGCTGCCTGTGCGGATCTGTCTCTACTCGCAACTATGGGTTGCACAGGAATAATAAGAAGGAAGCTTTAGTCATTCCCTGCCGCACCTTTGTAGGACACTCTGCACCAGAGGGTCACTCAAATTCAACTGGGACCACTACCTTTTAGGTCTGCTTAGAAACTCACACAACAGCCTCAATCACTTTATACAACCAACTCTTTTTTCTCAATCTCTCTATGCTTGGCACATTTTTCTCTTTTCCTCTACTCCAGAGACTTCCAAGTCACCAAAAGCTCCTAAAAATCCACTTTTCAAAAGTTGCAAGGGAAATGAAGTTCAGACATTCTCCACAAACAGCATCTCAGACTTCACTAGGAAACACAGAAGATTTGGAAATGGTCACAACTGGGATTATTACTGGCACCAGGAAGGAAGGAAAGGAGACCATCATTTCTTTTATTCCAGGGCTCAGTTAGAAATCCCACATCACAGTATTCAGGGGACTTCCCGCTGAATAGAACAGGTCCCCAATTTGGCAGCCTCTACTATCCAGGGAACAGACAATGTCAAGAGAAGGAGGAAAACCAAACTCCTCTCGGGTATAGGCAGCTCTGCCACTAGAAACTACCAAACTGGAGCTAGGCCTCCCTCCTGGCCTTTCTGAGCCTCAGGAACTGCCTGCATCTGAAGCAAGTCATGGGAAAAGGAGGAGTTGAAGGAAATTTAGCAATTTAGGCAATAAGAAATAAATGGATTCTCCCAAACCTAAATCCAGAGATGGTCCTCAACATCAATTCATTCATTTTCAAATGCAAAGAAAATACAGCTTTGATAAGTATTCTAAAGAGAGTGAAAGGACTAGAAAGTGAAAAAGGAAGAAACAGTTTCTGTATTCACCACCTTTCCCCTTATAAGTCAGAGAACAAGAAAAACACAAGAGAAGGAAATCCAGACCTCTAGGATCAAATGACTCCTATGGCTCTCAAGGACATTCAGACAACTGAGGCTCCACATTTCACACTGGGAGCCTAAACTGGCCTTCCAGGGAGACTGGAAGGGAACTGAAGAGGCCAACCCGCCCCAGACTAGCAGCTGGCTTCTAGGAAAGGGGTGTGTGTTGGGGGGTGTGGGGGGCATGCTGAAAACCGACTGGCTCCGCACGTTATGTCTGGGCAATGCAGGGAATCTTCAGCTGAGCATCAGAGGGTGGTTCAGGGCAAAGCAGAGAGCAGCAGCAGTGAAACAGGATAGAGAGGGTACATATGCATGTGTTCCGTGACTGAGCATTTAAGTAAGTGTCTGCGGAAGACTCCGGGGGGAGGGAATGCTATCACTTACCATGGCTTCCCGCCTCTCATCACCTCAAAAGACTGTAGGCAAACAACCCTCCACGGCCTCCGTTAAAGGACTTGGCGGATTGTTCTCTGGTAGGACAGGATATAAGGAGCCCCAAATCAATTTCCTCACTCAGTTAATCACCATTCCCTTCTTAAAATCTTTTTCCATGAACTAGATAAATACAATTGCTTCAGATCAATCCTCACATTTTTATATGTTTCTGTATTTTCACAGAATGACCCTTAAGAGATCATCTAATTTAGTACTCTGCCTCCAAGCGGATAGGTGAGCTCAATTTTCCACTTCCTTTTAAAAGAGCCCTTTGGAAAAAAAAAAAAAAAAGACCCCTTTGAGATGGATCATGTGAATTGGAAAAAAGAGCAGTGGAGCCAATATCTTCATCCTACAAGGTAGAGTTAAGAGAGGTTATTAAAAGTTAATGGAAAGAACAGAAGATTCAAATATGTTATTTAAAGTTACACAGGGGACTTCCCCGGTGGTGCAGTGGTTAAGAATCCGCCTGCCAATGCAGGGGCGCCGGTTCGAGCCCTGGTCCGGGAAGATCCCACATGCCGCGGAGCAACTATGCCTGTGCGCCACAACTACTGAGCCTGCACTCTAGAGCCCATGAACCACAACTACTTACTGAGCCTAAGTGCCACAACTACTGAAGCCCGCATGCCTAGAGCCCGTGCTCTGCAACAAGAGAAGCCACTGTGATGAGAAGCCTGCGCACCGCAAGAGTAGCCCCCACTCACTGCAACTAGAGAAAGCCTGAGCGCAGCAACGAAGACCCAACGCAGCCAAAAAAAAAAAAAAAAAGTTACACAGGCTTCCGGTAGAAATAAAAATGACAATATATAAGCAAGAGGTGTGAATCTTCTAAAGTGCAATCTTCTTTTGTAACAATTAATAAACCAAGAAACAAAGGCACAAGCATTTTCTCTAAGGCTATGGCAATAACTGTCAGAGAGAAACACTGAAATAATTAAGACATTAACTCTAGGAGTAGGGATGAAGGGAAAGGGAGTATTGATTTTCATCATAAACTCTTTAAGTACAATTGGATTTGTTCAAATGCATGTATGCCTTTAGTAGTAATTTTTTTTTTTTGCGGTATGCGGGCCTCTCACTGTTGTGGCCTCTCCCGTTGCGAATCACAGGCTCCGGATGCGCAGGCTCAGCGGCCATGACTCACGGGCCCAGCCGCTCCGCGGCATGTGGGATCCTCCCGGACCGGGGCACAAACCCGCGTCCCCTGCATCGGCAGGCGGACTCTCAACCACTGCGCCACCAGGGAAGCCCTTTAGTAGTAATTTTAAAAAGAAGTTGCTCTTCTAAAGAGACTCCTAATCATCCTAAGCTGCCTGTTCTGTGGCTGAGGATTTCCTCTTCACGTCTCAAGGTTTAACTCAAACCTTTCTTTAAGGAGGTCTGAGTTCATCTTTCCCCCTTAACCTTAACGGTAAACACAGAGATTAAGTACAACCTTCTCCCTGTAGAAACAAAGAGCCGAGCAGTCAAACAGGCTCAAGCCCTACCAGGAACCAGGTAAACACTTACCCAAGGCCCCAAGGCAGGGTGGCATCAGGGGAGAGGGCATTCTCAAGCTACCAACAGGAGGGCAGGGAGAGCAGTGGTCTCTGGGTAGTTAAGTCAATACTGAATCAGGCTGAGAATTCTGTTCAGGGCTATAGAGCTGGTATAAGCAGATTCCAGCCAGACAGCCCAAGCCAGCTCTGGGAGCCCCTGCTGTAACAGACAGATGGCAAAGAAAGCAACCTGTACACTCACCTCTCTCTGAATTGTTCCTTCCTGCTGCAAGCTCCAAATGCACTTGAACTAGGCCCTCTCTTGTCTCATGCCAGTTACTGAGAGGTCCCTCTCAAACTTCTTCCCCAAATCAAAGAATCTCAATTTGCTGCTTTAGATGGCATTCAACAAACATGTTCTTGTGCAGTGTGGACCCAGCGCTGAGAAGGAAGCAGGGAAACTAGGGGAAATATGACTTCTCTTTGGGGGTGCTTCCAAGGAGTGAAGCTGCTCCTAAACAGGGGAATTATGAGATTGGACACTGGCTAACGAGGAGGGAGACAAAGGGAGAAGTGGGATGAGGCAGCATGATGACTTTCAAACAGGCGTAGAGTAGGAAGATGAATGGAACTTCATATGCTCTCTTCGCTATCGCAGGCCAAGAGACATGGCATACAAGGAAGAAACTAGTTTCCTAAGGCCTAACGCACTCCAAGTTTTCTTTTCCAGCCAGTTTCTTCAAAGGACTTTCCCACATACTTTCTTCAAAGGACTTTTCCCACATACTTGTAGATGGAAACATACTTTCCATCTACAGAATCTGGAGTTATGGCTCAAGTACAAGAGGAACAGCAAAGGTGGTCAGCAACTTACAGCAGTGGGGGAAAAAAGCAAGGCAGATGAAAGAAGCTGGCCTGGAGCTTGTCTTTCAAACTGATTTACTCCCATGGTTGTAAGACTAGAAAGGCCCAACAGAGAGACCAGAATGAAAGAAAATTCTCAGAACAACTAAATCACTACTCATAAATACCCTGTGTCTGAGGAACCCAGAATGTTTTGTAAACAAATAATTAAGTCTAATTTTTTCCCCCAACCCACATCCTGCTATAAGCCTATTACTGCACTGATGCCTATACAGTGGACCATTTTCCCAAAAAAAGTCATCCTAAAGGTCAAGTGAGGAAGTCACATGCTGAACTCAGGAGTCCTGATTCTGAATATACAAGCTCTTTCCATTGTCTCATGTTCCTTTTCCCAGTTACCCCCTGACCAACCCCACTCCAGGCCTAAACTCTTAAGGAATCAACCAAAACCATTCTAGTGAAGCCAGAGACAGTAAACTGATTCCTCTTAGGAGTGGGAGGAGACTCTATTTTGTGATCCCTTTAAGACAAACCTAAAATTAAATAATCCAAAACAAAATTTCTCACAACCTCATTCAGTTTCCATGCAGGACTGTTCGTTCCTCCAACAAAGTGTAATCTGATAGGAACTTCTTTTAAACTTGCTCCATCCTTCAGAAACACCCTACTGTCCAGAGAAAAGCCTGAGACAGCTGAGGCTCCCCCTCCTCCCAACACATTTTCTTCTTAGCTCAAGGTTTAGCTGATCCAGAAATAAGTGGTATGTAAAGGTAAAGAGTATGACAGAGAACACGTAAAGACCATAGGGAAAACAGAACCAAGTGTCACAAGGATCAGCAAAACCCTTGAAACTCGAGGGAGGTGTCGAAGTTGGAAATCCTGAATGGGAAGGGGCACTGTCAGATCTCTCCTCTACAGAAACAAACCTCCAGAGGTTGGGGGAATTGAGGAAGGGTAGAGGGAAGTTAAAGAAAGTTACAGGAATCATAAAGCACTCCAGAGAAGAAGGGTAAGGCTTAAGGTCAAAGGAGAATGTAAGTAGTACTTTGGGAATGATGGGGAGAGCCTAGATCCCTTCAGGAGAAGGGAACAGACAATTCTTGGAAGCCAGGAGCTGGGTGGGTGGGTGTCAGTGGGGTAACGGAATCAGAAGCAGCAGAGGAAGAGAGGGCCACAATCTTCAGATCAGGGAAAAGGGAACCCAGTGCTGGGGTGGCATAGAGACATCGGAGGAAACGGACAAAATAGGAAAAGGGGTAAAGGCAGAGGCCATGGAAAGATTCGGGGCTGGAGCACAGACAACGAGGAAAGACAGCATGGATGGACATTATAAAAGGCGTCGTGATGTGGAAAGGGCTGACGACTTAAAATAATTCGGGACGGCGGCAACAGGGATAAGAGTGAGGGAGGGGGGAATCCCCGGGCAGAGGGCGGAGCTAAACAGAAGAGGAAGCCAAAAAGCAGAGGAGGACCCCAGGCTTGGGAAAAAAGGGTGGAGAAGGAACCCAGGGTGCAGCTGCCACCGGGAGGGCAGTTTTGTAGTCAAACCCAGGTGTGGGGGCGGGGGACGCTGTGCAGGACAGGGTGGGAGAGGGACCCCTTCACACACAGGGCAGCGGGCACTCACGGGGTAGGAGGAGCTCACCTCCGGGGGACCCCGGCGGAGGGGGTGCGGGCGGTCGGGGTCGGGCTGCCGACACCGCCGCCTCAGCAGCAGCGGCGGCTCCCGGGTTCCATTGGCCGCCTGCGCTTCCCTGACAGCGGCCGCGGCGGCTGCACCAGGCCCCGGCTGCCGGGGCTGCCCTCGGCGCCGCCTGAGGGGGCCTTCGCGCTGCCTCACTTTCGACCGGGCCTCACAACTTTCTCTTCCTCCCTCGCACAACCAAGACCAAAAAAAAAAAAAAAATCCCCAGCAGATCTCGATTTTCTTCTGAGTTCAGGCCCTTCTTCGTGGGCTATGCTTTCTTGCTTCTCCGACGCTCAGGACCCTACTGATCCCATAGTAATGTAGGGAGTCGGGTGAGCTGCCTGGAACATGCCTGTTCAGAAATAGAGAAGGGGGCGGGGAAGAGATATTTGGCAGCTGGGGAGGGAGGAGAAGACGGAGGGAGGAGCTTACGGGTGGGAGGAGGGGCCAACCTTTGGGAGGCGGACCTAAGAGGCATTGTTTGCGAGGCTAAGGAAGCCGAAAGCGAAGTAAAATTTGCTGGATAAGGGGAAGGGGCTCCCGGGCTAGAGCAGAGAGCGGCAGTGTGGCAGGCGGGCGTGGGTGCCCTGTTAGAGGAGTGCAGACTTATCGCGTACTTCAGAAAGCACAGGAACATGCAAATTATATGTAAATGAGCCCGTTCGGCTTAGCAACCGAGTTACCGTAATTGCAATCAATGGCTTTCCCCCTCCGTTATTCCACACGACTTCCTTAAGTAAATCAGGTCAGGGGATGGACGCTGGGGATCCAGCTGGACAGCAGAAAGACAAAGGGCAGGCGGGGAAGATAGTCACCTTCACTATCCTTTTCCTACTCATCTTTAAGGACGATGCCAAGATTACGCCCCTTACCGCTTGGGGGGAATGGCGCGGTCCAAAAGCGTCAGTCTTTCGCCGTTAGCGGCGCGACTCGAGGTGGCGGTTCTGCCTCCGAGGTCACCACCTGCCTGGGCAGCCTTCGGCCTCCAGCCTCCGGACCTCGATCCAGCCAGGGAGGGGATGGACAGGACCAGGTCGGGAGAGGTGAGTGAAATGAAAAAAGCTTGGAGGGCATAATCACTCCTTCCAAACGAAACAAAACCGTATAAAACTAAACAAATAAAAAATACGCCCCGCAAATGGACTTCTGGTGTTGCTTTTGTGTATTTATCAGATAGCTTTATTGACTAGGAACCCTTTACGTCAGAACCTCTGTCCCAACCCTCATAGGGCCTTACTTAATATTCTACATTGGGGCTAGTTGTTTGAGCCCAGATCCTGGATGCCACCTTCCCTGCCACTTAAAGGCTGTTTGATTTGGAATGACTGATTTAACCTCTGTGAACTTCCGTTTCTGTGTCTGCAAAGTGGATCCAAGAATATTAACACTTTACAGGATTTTGTGAGGATTAAAAGAGAGTACAGGTTACTACTATACATAGTGCTATATTACTATTATTGGGACAATAATATAGGATAGATGACAAAAGGAAAGAGGGTCACTGCTTCAGTGTTTGGGAGGCAGAATAAAGATTAATAGCTTGACAATACCTATGTAAAACGTGCAGTATGTACAAAAGTATAACAAATGGGGTACCTGATTGCTGAAGGAACATATTGTTAATTAATACAGAAGGCCACTCTGCATATGATGAATGAATGAATGAGTGAAAGGTTTCTCAGAAATACTGTGAGCCAGCTCAAAGAAGAGTTGCTAGAAATGATCCAGCCAAAGAAAAAAGAGGAGAGAGCATCCTGAAGGGAATTTGCTCATATCATGGGAGGGCAAGTTGATAAGCTAGGTTAAATCAGGAGTACAGTAAGGAAAGATGAGCAGAGAAAGAGGCCAAGAGTGCCAAAGATAGTTTAAATTTGTCACCGCTCGTCTGGAGTGGGGAATCACCAGTCCATCTGTCAGGCCAAGCAGCTCTTGGCCAGCTCCCAGTCGGCTGTCTGGCAAGTATGGAGAGGTGATGACCCTGGTTTACCCTAGAGTTTAAAATGTCACACATCCATCCCCTCAAGGGATAGGGATCCCAAGGGCTGTAAGACGGCTTTTTGAAACATTGTAAAAAGAGATGTGACAAGCTTACTTTTTATAGTAGGAAGTTTTTTATTTTCCAGTAACATCTCTGTTCAAACTAAGTAGGAACTTTTTGTAGCTACAGCAGTTATAAGTCCTTTATTAACTGAGACCCACCCCCACCCCATATACACACACACACACAGTATTATTAGGTAGAAGATTTTGTTTCAAGTTTTCTGTGTTCATAGCTCTAAGGGCTCTTATGTGTAAATTTCTGTGCATCTCTTTATGACTTTGTCTTTCTGCCTTCTTTTGGAATTTTCTTTGTTTCCCTCTATTTCTGGGTCTCCAACCTCCTCTAGTCTGAGCTCCTCAAGGCAGGAAACGATTTATCTTTGTATCCTAGCTCTATCCTTAGTTTCTACCACAGGAAAAAATGTTTATGTTTGTTGATACAGCAACAGATTGAATGCAGAAGCAGATACGAGAATCGAGTCAAGCATTAGATTTCCAAAAATGCAGAACAGGGCCAATTGTCTGATTGTTTGTTGTCGTAGTTGTTCTGGGAAAATAGTTATCTTTCTTAAATGAATTAATAAAATATTTACAAACAAATGTTTTGACTGTTATTCCCCTCCCTTCCTGTTTGCTTTTCTTCTTTTCTCCTGTCTCCTTGTCAGATTATAAAACTGAATGCTATTGTTTCCCATATTTAATTTAAAAACATAACATTTATAATATTCTCTAAAATTCCTCACCACACAAACTATTTTTTAGATTCTCTTTCGATAGAAAAAAACACCACTTACCTCTATCTTAGGTCCCAGGGAGCTGCTACAGGTATAGATGGTTGTACATGGATGACCCATGTACATGGTGACTCTATAGGAACCCCATACTGTCCTGTATGCACGTGAAGCCTCTTACTTTGGTGCGAAAGCATGTACGCATGTGGCACCTTGGGGTGTGAGGGCAGGAAAGTACCAACAGCGTCAAGTAATGTCATTTATTTATTTAAATGTCATCAAACTGGGGAAAGAAGTTGGCTTCTTCATCAAAAGTTGGTAAAACTAGAGGACCCAGGTCATAATACAGCTCCAGTTATATTTTAAACACCCCTATGGTTAAAGAAATTATAAAGAGTAATTTTTCTCCCGAACCATAGATATTATGGGCTTTTCTTCAGAGAAAAGAAAAAGAAGCTACTAGCAGTTATTGCTTGTGGGCTCCTACTGTGTATGAATACAAACGTTACCTCATTTATTCCTTACAACCCTGTGAAAGAGATTTTATTTTATGGAGACTGAGCTTCAGAATGGTTAAGTCATTGTTTTTTTGAAACTGTTTTACTTCAACCCACAGTAAGAAATAGATTTTATAATCAGGACCACCGAAGAGCACATAGACACGTCTTCACTGAAATAAAGGTTTCATGAAACAATACTTACCCTTACTATAGTCAATGCATGCTGATATTTTCTATTCTATTTTATTTCACTTTTTAAAAACACTGTTTTGCACCCTGCTAAATCAGTTTCACAACCCACTAATGAGTTGCGATCTATTTTTGATTCGTTTGAAAAAACTGGACTAAGTGTTCAAAATCATATGGAAACTGGTAAAGCTAAGATTTGAACTGAATTCATGCTCTTTCCAGTAAGCAAATGCTTCTTCATGAACATTTCTTAAGAAATACTGCATTATATATATATATATATATATATATATATATATATATATATGTTAAGATTAGCTTTACCTCATGGGATGCAGCTAGCAGGATGATCCTAGACAAAGGACTTAGGCCTACTGATGAACCACAACATGAGACAAAATACTTAGACAAATATATAATGACATTAATTCCTCCGTTTAGCATGTGGTATTTGCTTTGATTTTATTAAGAAAATTGATTGCTACCCACAAAAATAAACAATAAATTCATTTATTTGAGGCCATAGACTAAACATATTGAGTTTGACTTGGTTCAATAGCAAAAGATTATTTCAAATTTTAGTAAATTATAAATTACCTCTAACAATTTACGATACGGCTAAAATGAAAAAAGACAACAATGGGAGTGGGGAACAGGGTATTGGGGAGAGAATAGGGAATGGTAGGGAGGAAGCAGTAGGCAGTCCCCAAAACCTTAGTTTAGCACTTCATCTAATAAACTGAAGATTGCCTGAACTACAGAAGATTAACTTGTTTCATGTTAGATTTTTAAAATAGGGTAAAGATTTAAAATAGGCTACTTAAAAGCCCCCTAATATTCATGTAAATCTCAAAATCACCCAGTGGTCTTGACTCCCAAAGTGAATGGATACATCCCCAAACCCAGTCATGGTAAGGGCAATATTTCCTTGGATGCTTCTATCTATTCTAGCACCAGTGGTTTATTTTTCCATATGCCTATGATCTCTAACATGTCAGCAGCCTGGTCCAGTCCCTCATCTCCACCCATGTGGATAATGGCAACAGCTGCCTGGCTGGTTCTATTTGACTTCAGTTCCTCCATCCTCTAATGCAAACTTCATACCTTTCATTCATTCATTCATTCAATCAACGGGTAACTTTCAACCATTCATTCAATGGTTGTGTGTTCTTCTTCCAGTTTCTCACTCTTGTTCACACACCTCCCTTCTGCCAGGTGTCTTTACTGGGTTGTACTGCCATGTCTTTGCTCACGTCCCTTATGCCCAAACCCGTGCTTTTCCTGGAATGCCCTCCTCTTTTTTATCTATTTAAGCTCTACTTACCTTAAAGGCTTAACTCAAGCCTACCTCTTCCATGAAGCCTTCCCAAATTACTCAATCTCTTTGAATTTACACCTCTTATGCAGCAGAATGAGTATCATGATTTAGTTCTTTTTACCATGTCTTCTGTTGTTCTGTCCTTGCTTTATGAATTAGACTTGTCCTACCCATCTTTACTAGGAAGTCATTTCTGATCTATATGCTATTCCTCTGGGCTCCCACAGCTCTCTGTGCTTACTGCTAACGTAACTCACACTGTGCTATGATCACTATTGACTTGAAGACAGTGCCTAAGTCAACTAGCTTTCAACAAGTGCCTAGGTCTTAAAAAACAAGACGGGAAATGTCAAAACCACAGTAATGGACTCCTACTTCTGGCAGCACGGAGAAGAAAAAGGGCTGTCCCATTAGAATACAACTGGATCCTGGATAAATTCCAGCAAACATAATGTTTAGCACATCGCTGGCCTCATCAGAAAGTAGAAGAGATCACTAGAGGAAGGAAAAATAACTTTGAGCTGAAACCTTATGAAGGATGAGTAACGTGCAGTAGGAGAAGCTGGCTTGCCCTGGGGACAAATGCCAGTATCATTATTGTGAACAGAGGCTAAGCCCTGGACCTGGCCAAAGCAGGGGAGAAAACCTGGGACTCCTGAATTAAATGGGGACCCTTTTTTCTTTTTTAAAGATAGATTTTATTTTATTTATTTTTGGCTGCATTGGGTTTCCGTTGCTGCGTGTGGGCTTTCTGTAGTTGCGGCAAGTAGGGGCTACTCTTCGTTGTGGTGTGCAGGCTTCTTATAGCAGTGGCTTCTCTTGTTGCGGAGCTCGGGCTCTAGGCGCGCGGGCTTCAGTAGCTGTGGCACACGGGCTCAGTAGTTGTGGCTCGCGGGCTTAGCTGTTCCGCAGCATGTGGGATCTTCCCAGACCAGGGCTCGAACCCGTGTCCCCTGCATTGGCAGGCAAATTCTTAACCACTGCACCACCAGAGAAGCCCAAATTGGGACTCTTGAAGGGGCTAACACAGTCCCAGGTAAGGAGCACCCTTTGTCTCCTGGCAGAAGCAAATGCATATCCTCTCTGGAGGAAAGTACACCCAATTTAGGCCTACTGGATTCCCTTAGATTAAGGAATATTAATCTAAGATTAAGAACTCAAAATAGGAGCTCAAAATACTAAAATACAAAATATACAAGGAAATAAGCTGCCATGGGCAGGAGTCAGCAGAAAACAAAACAACAGATTTAGATATCCAAGGTAAGTTACAGAATATAAAATAACACTCCCAACAAACTTCAAAGAATTGGTATCATAGAGACCACATTTTCTAAGCACAAGTGATTAAACTGAAAATCAGTATCAAAAAGATAAAATTTTAAATATCCAGATTTTGGAAATTTATAAAACTTTTCTAAATCATGAATCAAAAAAGTCATAAATGTAATTTAAATATTCTTAGAACTAAGTAATAATTTAAATACTTTAAACAGAAAAATTTGGAGAATATAGGGAAGTGGGTCTTTTAAAATTTATAATAGAAAAAAGACAGCTTGAAAATTAATTAGATTAAGATTAAAATTAAGATGTTGTAAAAGAACCTAAAATTAAATCTAAAGAAAGCAGAAGGAAATACTATAGATAAGATTCATAATTAATGAAGTGGAAAACAAATATATAAGGCAGAGGATCAACAAAGCCCAAAGTGGCAGCTAAAATCAGACAAGTAAAATAAATGTCTGGTGTAGTTGGTCAAGGGGGGAAAAAGGAAGGTGCAAGTAAACAGAAGAAATGAAAAGGAGGACACAACTACCCAGGGAGCAGAGGCAAAAAGGAACATGGAATAAATTTCATTTTAAAAAAATGACATAAAATGCTCAAAATTCTAGAAAAACATTTTACCTAAATTGACTCAAGAAGAAATAGAAAGCCCAAATAGCCTATAATTATTAAAGAAATTAAATCAATAGTTAAAATATTTCCCACAAAAAAATGCCAGGTTCAGAGGGCTTACCAAGTAAGTTTTATCAAAATTTCAAGGGACAGTTCATTTCAATCTGATGTAAACCCTTTTAGAGAATGAGACAAGAGGGAACAGTCTCCAACTCAGAGGGTGTACAGACCAAAGGAACCATCTTAGAAATCTTACTAAAAACAAAGGCACTGGGACTTCCCTGGTGGCACAGTGGTTAAGAATCTGCCTGCCAATGCAGGGGACACAGGTTTGACCCCTGGTCCAGGAAGATCCCACTTGCCGCGGAGCAACTAAGCCCGTGCACCACAACTACTGAGACTGTGCTCTAGAGCCCGTGAGCCACAACTACTGAGGCCGTGTGCCACAACTACTGAAGCCCACGTGCCTAGAGCCCATGCTCCTCAGCGCCACCGCAATGAGAAGCCCGTGCACTGCAACGAAGAGTAGCCCCTGCTCACCACAACTAGAGGAAGCCTGCACGCAGCAATGAAGACCCAACATGGCCAAAAAATAAATAAATAAAAATAAAGACAAAGGCACTAACCTGTACAAGAATGTTAGTAGCAGCATCATTTGTAACAGCAAAAAACTGGGAACAACCCAAATGTCCACTGATAGGTGGATGGGTAAATTGTGGTTTATGCACTTGAAATATTATATGGATAAAAATGAACAAATAATAGCTATCTACAACAACATGGATGAATCTTAGAAATAATGTTAAGTGAAAAAAACAAGCAAACCACAGGGGAGTATTAGGGAATAAAATTTTGTAAAGCTAAAAAGCAAAACAACAATACATTTTTAAAGAATATATACATATATGGAAAGCTATATATATATATATATATATATATATATATATATATGGCAGGTAATTAATAAACACGAAATTAAGGATAGTGGTTACCTCTAGGGAGAAGCAGAAGGATAGGACAGGGGAAGAACACAAGAAATTCAATGGTATTTCTAATGTTTTAATGTACAAATTGGGTGATGGGTCATTTAATTATTATGCTTCATAATTTATCCATTTTAAATATATTCTTTATAGATATCAAACATTACATATTATAATTTTTGAAAATCTGCAATGCTGGAAATAAATGAACAAATGAATGAAGGCTCCCTGAAAGAAAACTGAGAATCCCTGACAGAAGCTACCCTATGCAGAAGACACAGTAGGTCCTCAAGTAATATCAGCTGGTTTACTGCTTTTTCCAAATACATACCTGGATTCCCTTCCTACTGGTGCTCCCTGATATGTGCAGCTACCCCCTTCCATACACATAGCCTAAGCCCCACAATCCTGGCTAAGTCCTGACACGTACATGACAAGAGACTGACACCTGGTGGATACAGAATGAATTTAATAAAACGACTAGGGAGTAAATCTTTCACTCTACATGGTGAAAGAGGCAGTAGGGTGGGGGACAGGGAAGCAGGAATGAGGAGAAACCTAAAATTCGGAAACAGGAAAGGGAAGGATATCCACCTCTGAGATGTAAAGAAAGGGGACTGTCATCTAAACGAGACTAAAGAGATAGTCCCTAAAGAAGAATGATTTCCCTCTCATTCCTTCTGAGACTGGAACAAGAGGAAAGAGATTATAGCTGCAGTAAGGAAAATGCAAGACTATTTGGAAAAGAAGAAGCAGGTATAGCTGGTCTCAGCCTAGCAAGCTAAAACCACAGGTACTTCATAGCAGTGGCTAGGTGTCAGCTGTCTCTCCAGGAACTCCCCACTCCCAGTTTCCATTTAGGGATCTATGTGATTCTAAGGAGGCTGATCCTGCCCATTTTTCAAAAGGTACAGTCCATGATGTAGAATAAATAAGCAAACTAGCATTTACCAAACTCCTGGCCACAGTGATTGGTTAGGGGCAGGCATGTGACCCAGGCTGGCCTAACCAGAGTGAATCTTAGGGCTTTTGCTACAATTCCTGGCACAAAGATGCCCTCTCTTTCTGGCTGGACATAAATGAGGAAAACATGTAATCCTAGGAGTGCTGGCAGCCATGAGGTGGACCAGGCTTGATCCTACAGAAGGTAGAACAGTAGGGTAAGAAAATCAATCACGTATTTAGAGACATACTGAGCCACTGGATCAGCTTTACCTGGAGCCAGCACTACCTCTGGACTTTCCAGTCACATGAGCCAATAAATTTTTATTTTTAGGCCAGTTTGAGTTAGGTTTTCTATGATTTAAAATGGAAAGATGCCTCAACTATACATTCATCATACTCCATCCCTATATTTCCACAGGATAGCACAGGGATCCAGGTAAGATGGTCAGTACAGATTTATTAGTGACTCTAAAGCCAAGGGTATTGAGCTAGAAAGGTAAGAGGCAAGAACCAGGCACTATGCAAGACAGGGTGCCTCAGCTGTCTATACAGAAGAGAATGAAGAGCCAAGTGAGAAGCAAGTGCAAAGAAGGGCCTCTACTAGGCAGACAGGTAGAGTTAACATAGCACTCTTCCCCACGTACCTATCATGGGGGTGTTGCTTTGGGGTCTTTTCACTCATGGGGTAAGGAGCTTTGAAGCACATGCCCCTTTAAGTCTTTATTACCCTGTGCTGCAGTGTCTACCTCTCCCTTGACCAAATGAAGAGCCTCCTTTTGGCTTCTACTGCCCTTGATGACACTCACTTTCGGGGTGACAGGAGGAATTTTATCTTCTGCTTCTTTGGCATGCCGGGAACTGGGGCCCCTTCCTCCTCTGGAAACAGCGCCATCCGCCTGACCTCGGGCAAGCGTCTCCTTCTCAGCCTCTCCCATTGGCCCTGGCCTCTCTGACCCTCCAGCTGAGTTGCCTTCCCCTCCAGAGGCCCACGTCTCCAGCGGTCGCCTTGAGGGCTGGGCAGAGTCCACAGCAGCTGCTGACTTGTCAGGGGTAGAATTCCTTTCCCTACTTCCACCTGATTGTTTTCGAGGGCGCCCCCGTTTTCTTTTGGCGTCACTTCCTGTAGCCTCTATATCCTGCTTTGTTGCTTTAGCTGGTGGGTCCTGCCCACTGGCCTCACTCACAGGTGCTTCAGCTGTCCTCTTCACACCCTTGCCATGGGGCCCCGGGTCACCCCCTATGCCCGCTTCCCTGTTCTCTGTGCCCCTCGGCTGAGTGAGCCCCCCAGGCGGAGCTGGCCCAGGCCCAGGCCCAGGCCCAGGTCCGGGCAAAGCAGGAACAGTTGGTAAGATCATGTTAATGATGGGCACAGCTGCTTGGGGTCCCCCAGCTCTAGGGGGCAGAGGCAGTGTAGCCATTTTCAGAGTGCTTGAAGAAAGCTTGGGGGCCAGGACGGGTGGAGAGACTCGGATTGGTGGAATAAGCGAGCGAGGGGCCCGAGGGAGAAGCAGAGGCAGCCGGGCCACTAGGGCATTAACCTGTGGGTTATTGGCTGCTGGCGCTGGGCTCTCCACTACACTCTTCTTTCGCTCTCCGCGTGGTGGGGGGCCAGCCCCAGCCCGGGGGTCCAGCTCCTTAGGAGGCTAAAAAGTAAAGAGAAGAACACAAAAAGTGGGAAGACTGGACAGCGGAGGAAATACAGACACAGGGGGTGAAAAAGTACTGGACCCACTGGGTGAAGGATATACTAAACCCCCAACCCAGGGGAGCCAGGTCAAGGGCATCAACTTCCTCACCTGGGCCTGTCTCTCTGGTCTCTTATGGGCTCCGCCCTCCAGATTCTCTACACCATTCTTGGATTTAGATGACCGTTCCCGAGGGGCGTGTTCATCCTCTTCTGCAGAGGTGCCAGAAAAGGTAACAAGGTGAGGAGGAAACAGAATGGAGGAGGGAGGCGATTCTGATTGACTGACTGGTAGAGGCAGGGGAAAGAAGGTGGTCTAAGGTATGTGCTAGAAGACTCTCTAGGAATAGAAGGCAAATCCAAGGTGTCTCTATCCTAGGATGTGGGAGGGCCTTTGAGGTTGAAAGTGGCTGAGGGTTTCTCAGAACATAAGAGGGGGTCCACTCACCAGCAAGCCCCATAGCCTTGAGCACATTGGCGTGTGCAGATCGGGCAGAGATGAGATGCTGCTGTAGCAGGAAGCGGGCGACCTCAACGATGGAACTGAAGGACCGTTTCAGGATTCGCTCTGCCCAGTCACAGGTCAGGGCACAGGCTGCTTCAACCAGTTCATCCCGAGGTGCTGGGGTTACTTCTGGGCCCATTTCTGGCTGCAGGGGGGAAGGACACGCCCAATCACACTCTGAACAAAGGACCCTCCACCCCTCTCAGACACAGTGTTGACCATAAGTAAGACCAGACTAGGGATGGGAGTAGCCTCTATCAACCCATCCCAGAAACCCACAAATTCTCTCCCTCCTCTGCCTCAGCCGTAGGGTAGGCAGAAGGGCATGTCCTATATACCCAGAAACTGTGTGCAGAATGACCTAGGCTGTGTCAGGCCTCAAAACATCTCCCAAAGTCCTCTGACTTCTACCTTGGAGAGAAGAGTGCAGTCGGAGGGTTGTTACTTACACTCTCAGAGCCCTTTAGGTCAAGTCCGGGCAAGGGCGGCATAGACACCAAGGTCTTCCTTCGTATGCCACTGTAGCAATATCTGACGTTTAAGTTAAGAGGCAACCAACACATGGGGGTCTCCAAGCCCCTTAGAAAGGTTGGGCTGTTTCCAGTCCTGTCCCTTCACATACTAAGTTTTCCTCCCCAGGTCCTCTAGCACAACCTCTCCAGTCAAGGATACTTGGACTGGCCCCGGCCACCAAGCCTTCGGGCTTTGATGTCAGGGAAGATCTCTCTGATGATTTTGCCAAAGTTGGCTGTGCTGAGTGGGCGGCAACAGGCAAGACTCTCACAGTACTTCCTGAGTGCGTGGGGGACAGAGTGGGAAGATACTCAGAGAGGGAGGTTTGGGAGTGGGTTCAGAGGGTCCCTGGGGATGAAGGTTGGGAAACCCTTTAAGAAGTCAGGCTCTATCAAGGCAGGGAGCTCTCCAGGGATGAGGGGGTAGTCCTGTGCCCACCATCCCACCCAGCCCCCATCCACCCACCGATAGGCATCATAAACACTTTGTTTTGGCAGGCAGGTGTCAGTATGCTCTTCTAGGTGGTTGCGGATCCACCTATAAGCATACATGTACTCCTCATTGCTGAGTGTACTTGGCTCTGAGCTGCAAGAGAAGTAAAAGAGACAAGTATTACTAACATCCCAACAGTTGCCCTGGTTCTATCCAGATTATCACCTCAGTAGTGCTGGACTGAATCAGTTCATCCAGAATCCACCTTTCCCTGGTAAACCAAGGCAGGTCAGGGACTTTTCTTCCCCACTAAGGATACTGTTATGAGGATTCCTATTCACCCTGCCTATTTTTAGGGAGCCTTTCTTTAAGAATCAGAACCTCTGGGCTTCGCTGGTGGCGCAGTGGTTGAGAGTCCGCCTGCAGATGCAGGGTACACGGGTTCGTACCCCGGTCCAGGAAGATCCCACATGCCGCGGAGCGGCTAGGCCCGTGAGCCATGGCCGCTGAGCCTGCGCTTCCGGAGCCTGTGCTCCGCCACGGGAGAGGCCACAACAGTGAGAGGCTCGCGTACCGCAAAAAAAAAAAAAAAAAAAAAGAATCAGAACCTCTGATATCTACAATTCTAGCACCAAACCTACCTTTTGTCTCCAGTACTGGGCCCTGAGGGGAGCTGAAGGTAGAGATACAGCTTGTCGTTGTCTGAGAATTTCTGTACATCTTGCTGAGGTAGGGAGGAACAGAGACAGGCGAAATAATAAGGCCAAGAAGGACCCAAGGTAGGACCCTCTGATCCTCACTAAAAAGTTCAGCTGACGTAGTGACTGGCAGGCTGACAAAGGACCTTAGAAATGATTTGAGGCTGTGCGTTCACTGTTCCCTGAGGAGCCCTTAGGGGCTACCAAGGTGAGAAGGGGAGCGGAGGGGACCACCTCTGATTTTATTTATATTGGCTTCTACACAAGAGGTCACAGAGATGAAGTGAGATGCTCCAGGTCAAAGTGATAGCAAGTTGCAAGGCCAATTATCTTCTGACAGGGTAGACAACACTGACTCGCATAAACCTTTCTTACCCATATCCTCACCATCCTCATCTCCCACCAATTCTGTCTCCCTGTTGCCCTCTTCCCCAGAATACTCACCAGGATTCCCTCTACTTTGTTCTGCACGGCCTTGCTGTGGAGAAGAGGAGAAAGCTGGAGGTCATACACAAGATTTTTCCCCATCCCTATGTCTGACTGCCAGGGAGAGAAAGAGGTCTGAAAAGCCTAGCAGGTGCTCAAGAACTGCTACCATGTTGAAGAATCTCCCCTGGTCAGATGCACTTGCTTGGGAGGGGGAGATCATCTACAGAGGAAGTGAAGTGTTACAGGGATCTATCCCCAGGTCCGGAACGAGGTTTAGAGGTGGTGATGAGTACTTACGAAATGGTACCTCGGAGCCTCTGAAGGAGGGTGGTGGGTTCCCCTGCCTCAGCACTACCTGAGGGGGCCCTTCCCCCAGTCTTTGGGCTCTTAGCATCAGGTTCATCTTCTGCCATCCCGGCATGAGGGCTGGAGTTGGGAGAAGACAGGACAAGAAGATTTAACTCCCCCCCCACCCCACCCCAAGGCCCCAGGGCACTCCTCATCTCTCTACCCAGAAAGATAGAAAAATAGAAAGAAAGCCTCCAAATTTCCCCAGTGGTCTTTTTCTAAAACTCGCCTTCTCCAAAAATTAGAAATTATTCCATTACTTCTCCAGGGCCATATATACCCAGAGATCTTTGCCATCTCCATTCTATCTGCCTCACCTTTCTGCAGTCTCCTAAATGTGGAAAACTGTAAAGGAAGAGATAGGGGCGATTGGGAATCCACGTTAGAAAGAAAATTTCATTTCTGCCTCTGACCCCATACTGCCCTCCTTCCCCTCAAAAACAACAATAACAACCACAAGACAAAGTTGTTTAATTCTCTAATATGCTCCTCACCACTGAATTTGCCTGGGAGGTCAGAAAGGATACGAACATTTTCTGCCCTTCCAGGCTTGGAAAAAACTGGGCCCAAGTTCTCATTACTTAATCTCGCCACGGCTTCCCCCGCAGCTCCCCTCCCCACGTCGCCGGCCTCTACGTCATCTCCCTCAACATCCCATCCTGATGCGCGCCCCCACCTCCCTCCCTTCCCCCTCCATCCAATCCCGCGTTGCTGCAAAGTGAGGGGTTCAGGGTAGCGGAACTCCTGGGCTGGGCGTAGGAAACCCGGTTGGGGGAATGGGGTCCCAGATTCGGGGCACGTGCACATGGGTGAAGAAGCAGTTGAAAATACAGGCAAAATCTTTTTCTGCTCTCCTCCCAACTCATATTGCGCCCTCCCTACCTTTGAATAGTCGCCTTCCAACACAAGCAACAATAAAGGTAAGGGAGAAAGAGAAACTACCTCGCAGCCACCTTCACTCCAGCCCAGCCCCACGGTCCTGGCCCAGCGGGCTCGTGCGTTGCTTTATTTTCTTTTTTCTGAATGGCTGGAACAGCCCCGATCTGCCTAGATACTAGGACGGCCTGTTCTACCATTGGTTGTTGCTGCCACCCGGAGACAGAAGGCGCCGGGCTCGCACCGGCGGCAGCTAAAGTCTGCCTGGTAACAGAATCTGATTGGTCAATAGGGGAGGGAAAATCCAAAGTTGGTCTTATTTGAGTCAAGAGGGGGAAGTCCGGGTTAGGTTTCGGTTAAAACTGGGGTCGGTTGGGACTGCCGGTCCCAAGAGGTTCTTCTCTTAAAGGGACCGCAGGACGAAAGACCGGGTGCTCGCCTCCTTCTGGAGCTTTCTTTGCTTTTGCTTTCTCCTTCCGTGTTTCAGTTTTGCCTTCGGTCGTCAGAGCTGCAGGAAGAAAAGATTCAATGGATGATAAAATAACTAGAAAATTATAGGTAGTAGTGATGGAAGTTCGCTGTAAGCTCACATTATCCCCTTTTGATGAAAAACAAGTTGAACCATTCCCCCCAGCCCTCACCAGCCAACACGCATGAAGATACTCACAAGAAACCTGCAAACACGGGCTCACATTCCTCATTGATGGAGGCCGCCAAACCTCAGTAGCTGTACCACGTTAAGCTAAAGTGCCCGTAGTGTTCCTAGGTTTCCCGAGTGTACTTTATCTCCTTCCAAAGAGTTGCTAATGCCTTTGCATCCCCAAAGTTCTGCAGTCAGTGAACATTGGAATTCTGACTAACTTCCCCAGGGGGGTGCTGGATGCCCACATGAATTTTTTCTCCTCAGAGAACATTGTACTGAGAGGTCAAGGGTTCTTCACTCTCTTAGTTAAGGCTTTTTAAGGTCATGAATCAGATGAAAGCAATGAACCCTCTGCCATGAAAAATGCAGGAACAGACCAAGCGGTGCATCTAATTTCAGAGGTCACAGACTCAAGGGTAACCACCCTTTGAATGGAGTACAGTATTTTGTTTTGCACAGCAGATATGTTACACCCAAAACTATCAGTATATTTATAGTCCTGACTTATAGTTCTCCAGTCTCATCGTCATTGTGCTTTTGTAAAGAGGACAGCAGTGTTGCCTGATTTCATGACCATCGCCCTTTGCAGCTTCCATTTCCCTACTACCAGCTTCTGTGGGTAGCGGGGGAACCCAGAGGATCGCAGAGTTGGGGAAATAAGGATATACTGGCAGGAAGGTTTTCTAATAACAGCTAAAATTTATTTGTTAACTGTGTGCCAGATACCAGACCAAATGTTAAACACCTCGGTTGGAAGTAGGAACTATTATTGCCTCCATTTTATAGACAAGGAAACAGATTTGGAGAGGTGAAGGGACTTGTCCACAGTTACATTGTTAATTAGTGCTGGAATCAGGATCCAAAGTCAGACAGTCTGCCTTCGGAGCTCATTCTCTCTCTCTTTTTTTAAAATAAATTTATTTACTTTATTTATTTATTTTTGGCTGCGTTGGGTCTTCTTTGCTGCGAGCTGCTGTGCGCGGGCTTTCTCTAGTTGCGTTGAGTGGGGGCTACTCTTTGTTGTGGTGCACAGGCTTCTTATTGTGGTGGCTTCTCTTGTTGCAGAGCACGGGCTTTAGGGGCACGGGCTTCAGTAATTGCAGCACGTGGGCTCAGTAGTTGTGGCTCGTGGGCTCTAGAGCGCAGGCTCAGTAGTTGTGGCACATGGGCTTAGTTGTTCCGTGGCATGTGGGATCTCCCCAGACCAGGGCTCAAACCCGTGTCCCCTGCATTGGCAGGTGGATTCTTAACTGCTGCACCACCAGGGAAGTCCCAGAGCCCATTCTCTTGAACACTGCTCTAGACTGCATAGATTGCAGGTGCTCAGATACAAATATGGGTATAGACTGATGGAAAGATACCCCAAACACCACTGTTTGGTATGAAGGGGAATATAGAGCACTTTAACTCGAAAAAGAATTTGGGGTAAATTATGCTGGCTTAGGAATTTGCAGGTGGCAGAGAATAAGTGGAAGCTTTAGCAAAGGGAGAAAAAGTGTCATAGCTATGTAAGGGAGATTATTTTGACAGCACTGTAGAAAGGTGAGGTTGAGTGGGGAGGCTGGGGAGGTTAGAGATGGGAAAAACAGGCAACTGACTATTCATTTATGCCAGGTGTTATGCTAAGAGCTGGGGATACAAAGCTGAATAACGTACAATGGTCCTTGCCCTGAGAAGTAACAATAAAAATTGTCTGATAAGCATCATCATAACAGCAAATATTTATATAGAGCTTAACATGTGCTGAGGATTGTTCTAAGGGCCTCACATATGTTACATTTTTATCTTGTAGCAGCTCTATCAGATAGGATAATCATCTGATAGATTATCCCCATTTTACAGATAAGGAGACTGAGGCATTGAGAGATTAATAATTTGCCCAAGTTTACACAGTTAGTGATGGAGTTAGGATCTGAACTGGGCTGCCTGGATTCAGAATTTGTTCTTAGGTGCTATTATACATTGCCTACTAATATATATTTTTAAAATTTATTTTATTTATTTATTTATTTGTTTTTGACTGCATTGGGTCTTTGTTGCTGTGCATGGGCTTTCTCTAGTTGCGACGAGTGGGGGCTACTCTTCTGTCGATATGTTCAAATCAGTATCAGCAAGGTCCACACATTGCATTGCATTTGGTTTTGGTTGATGTTTCTTAAATCTTTCTAATCTATACGCTCTCTCTCTCTCTCTCAATTTATTTGTTGAGGAAACTGGTCATTTGCTCTATAGAATTTCCCACATTCTGCATTTTTATGATTTCACCTTTATAGTGTTTTTAGGTTTTTAAAACTTGTTCTTCTCTCTCCTGTATTTCCTGTAAACTGATTGTGAGCTCTGCAGGCTTCATCAGATTAACTTTGGCTTTTTGGCAAGAATACTTCATAGGTGGTGCTGTGTACTTCCTATCGCGTCACAGGAGGAACTCTTTTCGTGACGTAAAGATTGAATAGTGTATTCGGGTTTGGTCGCCTGATCTATCCATTATGAAGCACCATTTCAGTCTTTCATTGAATGGTTTTAGCAGCCACTGATGATCAGTGCCTGGATCCAATTGTCATTAAAGGTTACACATTGGCACTATCCAAATTCTGTCACTCCTTCTGAATTTACTAGCTGAAATTCTTTGTTGTTGTTTGGTTGGTTGGTTGTTTTTATCGTTTTGTGTTTGTGTCAGGTTGGGGGGGCTTTGGGGTTGTGGGCATCGATTTAGGGGCAGTGGTTGATGTCCCAGGGAATGACAGGACATGGAATCCAGCTCCCACAGGCTCTCACACATTGGGGGAGCTAATGCCTACCCCTCCACACAGGGCCGGATCCCCGGGGCCTAACCACCTGGGGTGCTGGCGTGGTGACTCACCAGGACCATGCATTCCTGTCTACTAGCTGAAATTTTGTAAAGGACGTTTCCTCATCGACTATTTGCTTGTCCCAAGGCAAATTCTTTCTGAAGAAGTTTGGTTATTGAAAAGGACAGGGTAGAAACCTAGGATAGACTTCTGTTAAGACCCAGTAAATCCCAAGACTCCCTGTAACTTAATCATCTTTTATAGTCACTTATTCATTAAGGCACACTATGTGCTACTATCCAAGCTGGGTATTGGGAGGAAGCAGGGATTTTCAATATAATGTGACATAAGTTCATGCTGAGGTAAAGTGCAGGAGGCCCCTAACCTGGAGCTGTCAGGGAAGAAGGGCTTTCCCAGGGAAATGACAACCTGGCCCAGATGGCAGGTAAGGCAGCGGGAGGGAATTGGACTTGAGTTGAGGTAGATGTTTCAGGGAGCATGTTTAAAGGCCTCAAAGGGAAAGAAAGTGTAATACATTCTTGGGGGAGGCCTGGCCATCTCGGGGGTCTTAGACTACTCCAGTGTTTAAAACAAAGACACCTTTGCGGAAGACTGAAAAGAATGTAGATTAATACCTGAATGTTACTTGGTACTGTCTTGGGTAGAGAGTAAAGAAGTCAATAGAATTACTGCTTGGGGGCTTCCCTGCTGGTGCAGTGGTTAAGAATCTGCCTGCCAATGCAGGGGACATGGGTTCAAGCCCTGGTCCGGGAAGATCCCACATGCCATGGAGCAACTAAGCCCGTGCTCCACAACTACGGAGCCTGTGCTCTAAGGCCCGCGAGCCACAACTACTGAGCCCACGTGCCACAACTACTGGAGCCCGCGCGCCTAGAGCCCACGCTCCAAAACAAGAGAAGCCACTGCAATGAGAAGCCTGCGCACGGCAATGAAGAGTAGCCCCTGCTCACCGCAACTAGAGAAAGCCCGTGTGCAGCAATGAAGACCCAACGCAGCCAAAAATAAATAAATAAAAATTAAAAAAAAATTATCTTAGAATTACTGCTTGGCTGCTGTCTCTTAGGTTCCTGAAACTTCCATCCCATTCCTCTTATAAACAACTAAAGACTTACTGCAGAGAAAGGAGGCATCTCTGATTTGGGCAAGGTTCTAAAACACTGTCCAGGTGAGGAAACAAGAATGCCAGGGCCTAGTGTGTTGGGGTGGTTACCTTGATGTTCCCAGCCCTCCTGCCCCGTCGTGTTCCTGTCTTCCAGGTAG